CGTTACTACTGGTGGTGTATGGGTGTTACTACTGGTGGTATATGGGTGTTAATACTGGTGGTGTATGGGTGTTAATACTGGTGGTGTATGGGTGTTACCTCTTGTGGTGTATGGGTGTTACTACTGGTGGTGTGGGTGTTACTACTGGTGGTGTGTGGGTGTTACAACTGGTGTCGTGTGGGTGTTACTTCAGGTGGTGTTTGTGTTACTTCTGGTGGTGTGTGGGTGTTACTACTGGTGGTGTGTGGGTGTTACTACTGGTGGTGTGGGTGTTACTACTAGTGGTGTTTGTGATACTAATGGTTTCTTTTATGTTTTGTGTTGATCCCTCGCATCAACTTGGCCATGTCCATAGTGGTATTGTGACTATTTGATTCACCTGAGTTGTTGCCTAATCAAATCTCTAAGACAACTTTACCTGAGGGCACTCCACCTACTGACGCAACGTGTTGTTACTGATGCGTGGGTGAAGGTTTGCGAAGGGTATTTGCCATTGTACTGTTCCTTTATGTTTCGGTGTAAGAGTCTATTTTATAAGCAATTTGTAATTTTTTTTTATCATTTTCTGAAGTCAAGAAAAAAAAACAGTTCTCATCCAGGAGTGGCTATTATCACACGTTTGAAATTATTTCATCAAATGATAACTAAATCCAGCGAGACGAATGTGAGATTTACAATTACACGTTTTATATTCCTGATGTTTGTACAATAATAAAAACGTCCGTATTCTTTTCATAGGATCACTGTATACCTAAATGATAATCGAAAACAACAGCAACAGAATCAAGGTTTGATCTGAAATGAAATTGGAAACTATGCACACTAGTACATAGTTTTCCTCGGTGAAAATTGTTTCAATACTTGGTGAAAGATAACAGGAGGTAACTGAAAGATAACAGGGGGTAACCAAAGTAGCGTCGAAATGATATGTGTCCGCATTTTTGAGAATTTAGGAATTTCGCTGCCCTTTTAAACTATGTCAACAAATCTTTACCAAACATTTATTTCAATTTTCAGAGTGGCAGTGTAGTGTACTGTTTGTACCTTCATCAGTGGTGTTCACAGTGTAGTGTACTGTTTGTACCTTCATCAATGGTGTTCACAGTGTAGTGTACTGTTTGTACCTTCATCAGTGGTGTTCACAGTGTAGTGTACTGTTTGTACCTTCATCAATGGTGTTCACAGTGTAGTGTACTGTTTGTACCTTCATCAATGGTGTTCACAGTGTAGTGCACTGTTTGTACCTTCATCAATGGTGTTCACAGTGTAGTGTACTGTTTGTACCTTCATCAATGGTGTTCACAGTGTAGTGTACTGTTTGTACCTTCATCAATGGTGTTCACAGTGTAGTGTACTGTTTGTACCTTCATCAGTGGTGTTTACAGTGTAGTGTACTGTTTGTACCTTCATCAATGGTGTTCACAGTGTAGTGTACTGTTTGTACCTTGATCAATGGTGTTCACAGCGTAGTGTCCTGTTTGTACCTTCATCAATGGTGTTCGCAGTGTAGTGTACTGTTTGTACCTTCATCAGTGGTGTTCACAGTGTAGTGTACTGTTTGTACCTTCATCAATGGTGTTCACAGTGTAGTGTACTGTTTGTACCTTCATCAATGGTGTTCACAGTGTAGTGTACAGTTTGTACCTTCATCAATGGTGTTCACAGTGTAGTGTACTGTTTGTACCTTCATCAGTGGTGTTCACAGTGTAGTGTACAGTTTGTACCTTCATCAATGGTGTTCACAGTGTAGTGTATTGTTTGTACCTTCATCAATGGTGTTCACAGTGTAGTGTACAGTTTGTACCTTGATCAATGGTGTTCACAGTGTAGTGTACTGTTTGTACCTTCATCAGTGGTGTTCAAAGTGTAGTGTACTGTTTGTACCTTCATCAATGGTGTTCACAGTGTAGTGTGTTCTGTATACGGTCAGCACATGAATGTTGATATCTTTTTGACGAACTGTGTAACTATATATACTGTATGTAAAAATACACATGACCTCTCTGTTGTTGAAGACTGAATACAGTAATAGTCAGTGATTACAGTTAATTACATTGTCATATGTGGAGCTGAGGATATCAAGTGTTCCAAAAGTAATCTTATTACAATGAAGTACATGCATACATTGGACCTTTTCTTACAAGTAAATTTCTGAAATTTTAAATCGAAATCATTAAGGTTCTCCTAATCATACATGGTTTCTCTGCAGATTGGATATGTTCACAATGCACATATATAAACAGACAGGGGTCTGTCGACTGCGAGGTGTGCGAAATGACGAGGGACGTCGACCATCTTGTTGTAACGAGTGAGAAAGATACCAGAGAAACACATCTACGCGGAACATTTTCCGATGTTTACGACAGAAGAAATGATATTCCCTTGTGCAGGACAGATGACAAAGGAGAACCAGGGTATACGTATCTGTCGGAGGAAACAGAACCTAAAATATCTGGAATGCAGTGTCTGGCAAGCAAGCAGTCCTGTGAACTGTCACAGAAGGTAAACGAATGGTCACCACCCTCAAGCAGTTCTCCTCCTGGGGAGTTGGAATCACACTCAGGCTATCCTAACACTGTGCAAAGCATAGGTATGTAATTTGTTATTAGTATTGTGTCATGAAATCTTACATCACAAAGCTACGACTATTGCCACTTTTTCTACAAACTACCATATGCCAATGGGGATTAATCTATTTCCGAACTATGTTCACATTTTATACCTTGCTTTCAGCTAATCCGTGTTTGGAGTTCACATTATATTTATATGTACCTTTACTAAAATTATTATAACAAGACATTTTCAAAGTATATTGAGATTTGATATAGTACTCAAAAGACGTTAAAGGCCACGGGTGGCCCAGTTGTCTTAGCCGCCGGAATTCGCTGTGCAGAGTTGCGTCCCATGGACACGCCAGGAACCTATGATCGTGATAATGTTTCGAGGTTTGCCAGCACCATACGCGTTTTTGTGGGTTTGACCAAAGGGCTTTCTCCCACATTAAGCCGACACGCGATGATATAACTGAAATACTGTTCAAAGAGGCGTTAAATACTAATATCCACTCACTTAAAGAACACCCGATTCCTTCATATAAAAATAATTAATCTGTCATGACAATTTAACTATAGTAACATGAAAGGTAATTTTTAATAGTATAAATACGCAAGATATCATTTAAAGACGAATAAGTTATTTTAACACCAATGTCTTAATTCCTGAATGTGGTTCTATATGTTACAGGCTACAGGTCTACAGATGTCCTTAGAATCGTGTTACTGGGGAGAACGGGGTCTGGTAAAAGTGCAACAGGAAACAATATCCTCAACGGTAATTGCTTCCACTCAACTGCTAGTGCTCAGTCGGTTACACGCCAGTGCCAGAGAGGTCAGGCCAGCAGATGTGGGCGTCATATTGCAATAATAGACACACCCGGTATGTTTGACACTGAAATGACTAATGAAGATATCACCAGAGAGGTTGTCAGGTGTGTGGGAATGACTGCTCCCGGTCCTCGTTGTACGGATTGATCGGTTCACGGAAGAAGAGCAAAGAACTGTTCGTCTTTTTCTGAACATTTTTGGGGACAATATGATACACCACCTGGTTATCTTGTTTACAAGGAAAGATGACTTGATTAATGACAACATCACCATCGAACAGTATATAGAAGGAGTTCCACACGAACTAAAGACTCTTCTTGCGGTATGCGAAAACAGATGCGTAGCGTTTGACAACAGGGCAACTTCTCAGGATGAGCGAGAACAAGATGTGACAGCTTTTCTTCGCACCGTAGACACAATGTTATTTGTTAACGGAGGGGGTTGTTACACCAACGAGATGTACCAGGAGGCTGAGATGATTATGAGGACACGAGAGCAACAGTTGCAAGTGCAACATGACAAGGAAGTGCAGCTACAAAAAAAAGTGATCAGAGAAGAGTGTGAGAGAAAGTGTAAACAAGCTGAAGCAAAGACAAACAAGACCATCGGCGAACTTCAGGAGAAACTACAGGTTCTAGAACAGGGTAGAGCTGCTGATGCCACATCGGACATTGCAGCGTTGAAACAGGATATTGATGATTTCAAGAGGGTGAGAGACATGAATAAACGAGGGATAGACAAGGAACGATTAGAACGTGAGCGAGCTATTGATGAAGAAACGGCATTGATTGACTTCAGGGACCGAGCTTGCGATGAGGTAGACAAGGGAGACTCTGTAATATATAACATGCTGACAAATGGATTGAAGCTGGTTGGATCGGTTGTTTTAAAGCTTGTTATTCGTCGTTTTTTGCCCTTCTGAAAGTTGTTCTACATTCATGTTTTTGCCCAAGTTAAATGTAGGGTTTTAAGGATTTGTATATCATCTCTTGTTTGTCTTAAGCTTATTTATTGATGATTTGGTCTACGGGTTATTATGGTTATTATTATGATTATATATAGCAATATTTCACATTCGAAGAGGGGCGGTGGGTAGTTAAAGCATTCGCTCGTCACGCCTGAGGTCTGGGTTCGATTCCCCACACTGATACAACATTTCTGATGCCCCCCGTGGTGATATTGCTCGAATATTGATAAAAGAGGCGTAAAACCCAACTCACCCACTCACTCACTCACTCACATTCAATGTTGTTGTTTTTTTGTGAATGCAGCCATAGCTAAATTCCATTCATTCCGCTCACTGCAGATATAATTTTGCACTATGTATCCTGAGGTGTATGTGTGTTTAATCATCAATCATATATCAAAATATTTATCCGTGATATGACTAATTCTGTGCTGTGTAGCTCCCTAAGAACAACGTATACAGTGAATGAGTGAGTGAGTTGGGTTTAACGCCGCTTTTAACAGTTTTCCGATTATATCACGGCGTGTCAGCTTATTGTGGGAGGAAAGCCCGAAGTGATGGAGGTCAAAGACGTTTACCACTTCGGTGAAACCCACGAGCACAGGTATGGTGCTGACAAACCTTGAAACATAATCGGGGCGAACCAGGATTCGAACCCACAATCATAGGTTTCTGGAGTGCCCAAAGGACGCAACTCTGCACAGCGAATCGCGGCACCTTAGACCACTGGACAACCCGTGCCCCCGTATATTGTAACAAATGTCTTATATTGTAAATAATTGTAAATGTAGTTCTATTGAATAAAGTGAGTTGTCTTCATTTATTTAGCTTTCTTCCATTTGTATCACTACAAAGTGTGTGAGTTGTGTTCAACGCGGCTTTGAACACATTTTCAATGCATGTTCGCTTAAAGTTGGGAAATTCCACAACGTTTAAGTGCGGACCCTAAAAAGTTGGAAATCAAAAACCTTTACAGTTTAGAGCCTTCCTATGATTAATCACTTTAATATATATAAGGTTATGCCATTTGTGAGACAATGTTTTACAACAATGGATGACAGTAGCGAGGTTAATTTATGTCCTTTGCAGATAACGTTGTCTTCTTTCCTGTTGTTTCAAAGGGGAAGTATAATGCCTACATATAAAGCCACACAATTATATAGTAGACGTTAGATGTGCTTCGTTCTAAACGGCTGTCTGAACTCTTATCAAGCTTTGAGGTAAGCGCTCAATATACTGATACCGGTATACTACATTAAGTCGCAAATGATCAATCAATGTTTATTTACTTTGCTTGGTTAATAACGGTATTTGGATGAAACAGTATGCTTCAATATAAATATTGTTATAAGGATATTTTGAAAAAATCTTTGTCTGAGGTAACAACCATATCTAAAGGTAGGTTCAAAACTATTAAATGTTTAATGTTTCCAATAAACTTTCCTACTCTAAATATATACCAACTAAATAAAAAAATAAAAAGTTGATACCGGAATCCAAAAATGATACCTGATATCTAAACACATGTTGTATGCATTACACGTTCAAAAGCTCTTTCTAGATTCATGGATTGTAATCCAAATTGTTTGAGTCGGAGACATCAAACAATGGTACTTGTCTAAACTTTCGAGAAATACAAACAATACCGTTTTCGGACGAATTGTTCGGACATTCGTGCATATGGAATGTACATTTTACACCGATGATAAAGTGCACTATATATTAACCATAAAAGGTACTTTTATCTAAGGTGAAGTGATTCCGGATGTAGTAACACTATTGTCGATACAATAATTACATCTGATCCACTATATCCTGTAATGTGTCCCTTGGTAAAGAACGTAATAAATGCGTTTATTTATTTACCAAGTCACTTGAGGAAAACATTTACATGTACGTGCCTAAATTAGTATTTCGGGAAACATGACACTATATCCTGTAATGTGTCCCTTGGTAAAGAACGTAATAAATGCGTTTATTTATTTACCAAGTCACTTGAGGAAAACAGTTACATGTACGTACCTAAATTAGTATTTCGGGAAACAAGGAAGCATAACATTAGTTTCATTGTATCCTGGTATATGTACAAGTTCATGTATACATATGCTCGCTATAATACATTAGCATCTACAAAGTGTCTGTTTCGCGAAAATTACATTGAACTTATCAGTCAGTATTGACATTTTGTGTGATCTTTTGATGGCTGAATAAGTGAGTGAGTGAGTATGTTTTCCTTGCTTTTAACAATATTCCAGTTGTAGCCATGTGGGGAATCGAACCCGGACTTCGGGATGACAAGCTACCTCACCCTCCCCTTTTTCATGTCTGAGTGTTGCAGCAATGCATTCCATACTTTCATCAAGTAAATCCTATACTGTGTACATGTGAATGTTTCTTTTTGATAAATGAAGAATATATTACAGTCTAATTCGCATAGCATGTAATTCCGCTTGCCCAGTCCGCGATTTCTCGTGTATCAAACTTTCACCAGAGAAGAATAACACATCAGCCTATGGACCTATGAGGCTGTCAAATCCATTCTGGTACGCGGGATTTGGGGGTTTAAGAACGGGACGCAAACAGAATCGTTAAAAAATAATGGTGTATGTAAAGAATTTTTAAACATTTTATTTTTTCGATGTCTTTTCAGTAATTTAACTTCAAATCGCATCCTTTTCTCAATGCTTTGACATTGTATCAAGTAGTATTCGGGATTCAGGGGACAGCAATGAGGCTCATTGTGTAAACTCATATGGTATTCGGATTCAGGGGAGGGCGACGGTAAACAACAAACACAACCAATACCGTAAACATCAAAGTGATAGTTTTATTAACTAATGCGCGTTGACGAAAATTGACATTGCGCAATCCGCAAATTCTATAATAATGTTGATTTTCGTTATAGATTTAACCATTAATTATGCTACGATGTGATATATATGAGATAAACGAACTGTGTTTTCAATGACTAACTATAATGTTACCTCAGAGTTGAGGGCATTGAATCCTCATCAGAATCGAGGTTTCGCTAAAGTGATGGCAGGACGATTAGGGTGAAGGGCGCCTATTGGGAAGTGAATACATGAATCAGTATACAACATGGACCTCTCCATTAGTGAGTAGGTTAGGATTGTATGTCGCATCAACATTTCTTCAGCTATAGTGAGTGAGTGAGTTGGGTTTGACGCCGCTTTTAACACTTTTCCAGTTTTATCGCGGCGTATCAGCTGAATGTGGGAGGAAAACCCGAAGTGATGCAGATCTCAGACGTTTACCACTTCGGTGAAACCCACGAGCACGGGTATGGTGCTGACAAACCTAGAAACATAATCGGGGTGAACCGGGATTCGAACCCACAATCATAGGTTTCTGGCGTGCCGAAGGGACGCAACTCTGCACAGCGAATCGCGGCGCCTTAGACCACTGGACCACCCGTGCCCCCCTCTTCATCTATAACGCCCCCGTCGATTAGACACAAACATTACATTTTTGAAACAATTCATGAAACATGTATTTAAAAAATATTAAATATACCACGTCAACCCCAGAGAATGACCTGTCTCCATTATCCGCCGAAACAGATTCCATTGGGTGTAAAAGCGAAAGAGCGGTGAACATTATATCAATGGATCACTGAAAATCAGTGATGATACAGGTGTTCGCGAAACGTTCACTACATTCATATCTAAACTTCAAACCGTAGAACTACTTACAAAGACATACATTTAAATTAGATTGGTCTGTCCAACCGACATGAGTTGTTATTCCACTGCGGCACAAGGACCTTATTATATATCGTCTCATAAAAAATATACTTTATAACCGGTAACGCCGCTCTGTTCCCGGTTGAGGGTAGTCAACTTCCGTCCTCAGTACATGAGGATGATCAGATCACACAAAGCGTGCTGTCTTTCTCCACACATTGCGCTTGACAACGACGCTGACCCGCACACAGCCCTGCGTTGCTGTTGATCTTCTGTGTCCACCGTCATTTTGTCCTTTACGCCCAATGGAATCTGTGTCGTCGGATAAGCGAGACTGGTTATTCCCCGGCCTTGCCGTATTAGATTATTATTGTATTGGTCTGGTCATGTTCACTCGTACTTGCTGTAAACCGCCGGGCAAAAGAAAGTATACGCCCATGTTTTATCGTGACTAAACGTGAAACAAACAACACATGGTTATTGGATGGTGATGTATTTGAGTGAGGGAGTGAGTGAGTTGGGTTTAACGCCGCTTTTAACAGTATTCCAGTTATATCACGGCGTGTCAGCTTAATGTGGGAGGAAAGCCCGAAGTGATGCAGGTCTCAGACGTTTACCACTTCGGTGAAACCCACGAGCACGGGTATGGTGCTGACAAACCAAGAAAAATAATCGGGACGAACCGGGATTCGAACCCACAATCATAGGTTTCTGGCGTGCCCAAGGGACGCAACTCTGCACAGCGAATCGCGGCGCCTTAGACGACTGGGCCACCCGTGCCCCCTGATGTATTTGAAACGGGTTTACAGTTTCTCGGAGATTGTTTTCATACCAGTAAGGTTTTGACAACGTTTGTAAGTCTTTGGTGAAATCTTATTTTCACCTGTATACTATTTTTTTTTCCGGTAGTTTTTATGTGGTAGAAATTCAAGGTGATCGTGTTGTCACTTACCAATCAGGTTGCGTTTGAACAGCGCTGTTTTGATAACGTTTGTAATTGTTTGGCAAAATCCAATGTTCAAGTGTATAATTAAAGGAGAAACCACTTCTCCTCGGGATTACTTGAAATTGTAAACCCTGACAGGAGAGAATGTCAGGGTTTACAATCTCAAGTAATCCCGAGGAGAAAAATATGAAAACATCGAGATACCTTATAGTAAAACAATACCGTGTGTCGCGGTATAAAAGGAATTCGATCATAGCGTGCGAGAGAGATACCACGTGCAGCATGGACCAACTGGATTCATGACATGTAAAACTGAACAACATTTTATCACTTGCCTCGATGGCTCAGCGGGAAAACGGTGGGTTACAAAACACGACGTGTGAGGTTGCAGGTTCCCGTCATCCATAATGAAAACTTTCATGTCTTGTCTCCGATTTTTGAACGTTGAACGTTTGAAACACCAAGTACAAATGTATACGTATAGAAGTATTAGTAAGTCCTCAAAGGAGGGTTTACAATGATTGTAGCCCTTGTAGGAGGGATTACAATCAATCATTGTAAGCCCTCTGCAACCATTTAAAAAAACCACGACGTTACGCAAACACGTAGGCGTTATATACTTTCTTTTCCCCTGCATTTTAGATCGCCTCCGTGGTCTAGTGGTAGAGGGGGGCACGGGTGGCCCAGTCGTCTAAGGCGCCGCGATTCGCTGTGCAGAGTTGCGTCCCCTTGACACGCCAGAAACCTATGATTGTGGGTCCGAATCCCGGTTCGCCCCGATTATGTTTCTAGGTTTGTCAGCACCATACCCGTGCTCGTGGGTTTCGCCGAAGTGGTAAACGTCTGAGACCTGCATCACTTCGGGCTTTCCTCCCACATTAAGCTGACACGCCGCGATATAACTGGAATATTGTTAAAAGCGGCGTTAAACCCAACTCACTCACTCACTCACTCTAGTGGTAGAGCGTCCGCCCGGAGAGCGGAAGGGGTCCGGGGTTCGATCCCCGACCGCGTCATACCAAAAGACGTTAAAAGATGGTACTTGCTGTTACCCTGTCTGGCGCTCGGCATTAAAGGGCTAAAACAAGGACTGGTCGGCTCGGTGTCAGTATACTGTGTCTGAGTGGGGTATTCATGTTTTACTGCGGCATGGTATCTCAGTGAGCTAGCACTATAAATCGGCATCAGTCCGGACTAGTACAAGCAGCCACACAAACACACACACGTACATGCACGTCGCTATATAAGTGCAATAATCTTGGACGCGACGTTAAACCCCATTTCACCTCACCTCACCTCACCCTGCATTTTATTGTTGATAGAGGTGTTTCAGTAGCGTCGATTTTACTTTCTATTCCCCTTACGTTTAAAGACAGTACTAGGCACGACATTATAGATTTTGGTGCTATTGTTAGATCCATGTAGGTGTCATAGCAGGGGCAGCCTTCTCTCATGGGCAAATATAGCACCGATAACATGTTTTGGAAAAACCAACCCTAATACCATCGGGGTTCTTTTCGATATTAATTGTATAATGTCATTAAATCGAGATTTGGGTTAATTCCGCACAAAACTTGGATCTGTTCAGGTAGCTGAAATACTCATAACTGGATAAAATGAATTATTTATTAGAATCCAGTTACACTATCATCTTTTTTATTAGAGTGTTAACTGATGTAATACTATGTATTTTGGTCTTCTTGACCATTTCTCTTAATAGTTACTCACTAGCTTTAATGCCCATAACAGGTTAAGCACTATCCTATGTAATTGGGACATATCGTGCCCCGTTTGAGCAAAAATGCAATTTTACAATGTACTTGAGTTCGCTGCGATTCAGACACTAATAGAACGGACATTTAGATATGCCAAATGTAAAGCCTTGTGTATACAGAGTCCGATGACCAAATTGTCTCATCAAAGTGAGTGAGTGAGTTGGGTTTAACGCCGCTTAGTTACAGTATTCCAGTTATGTGTGGGAGGAAAGCGCGAAGTGATGCAGGTCACAGACGGTTACCACTTCGGTGAAACCCACGAGCACGGGTATGGTGCTGACAAACCTAGAAACATAATCGGGGTGAACCGGGATTCGAACCCACATTTATAGGTTTCTGACGTACCCAGGGGACGCAAAAGAAATAATCGGGTCTGGGCCAGACAATCCATTGATTGGCATCATGAGCATCGATCAACGCTATTTGGATACGATGACGCATCATCAAACCAAGTCAGCGAGCCTGACCACCCAATCCCGTTAGTCGCCTCTTACGACAAGCATAGTCGTCTGTCACGGCAGGCAAGGGTTGCTGAAGATCTATTCTACTCCGGATCTTCACGGGTCTAATAGAAATGAATATAAATGGTTCTTGTTATAGAACCTATTCATTATCCGAAGATACAAAGAGAAATGAAGTAGGTCTCGTTATAATCCTTATTAGAAAGACGAGTCAGAAACAGAGAAACACGGTGACTGTTGTTCAGATACTCAATATGGCAGATAGTAGACAGTACGTACCTAAGTACATGGGTCAGTGAGTACAGAAGACAGTGAATACATGAGACAGTAAGTACGTGAGTATATGGGTCAGTGAGTACAGAAGACAGTGAATACATGAGACAGTAAGTACGTGAGTATATGGGTCAGTGAGTACAGAAGACAGTGAATACATGAGACAGTGAGTACGTGAGTATATGGGTCAGTGGGTACAGAAGACAGTGAATACACGAGACAGTGAGTACGTGAGTATATGGGTCAGTAAGTACAGAAGACAGTGAATACATGAGACAGTAAGTACGTGAGTATATGGGTCAGTGAGTACAGAAGACAGTGAATACATGAGACATTGAGTACGTGAGTATATGGGTCAGTAAGTACAGAAGACAGTGAATACATGAGACAGTGAGTACGTGAGTATATGGGTCAGTGGGTACAGAAGACACTGAATACATGAGACAGTGAGTACGTGAGTATATGGGTCAGTAAGTACAGAAGACAGTGAATACATGAGACAGTGAGTACGTGAGTATATGGGTCAGTGGGTACAGAAGACAGTGAATACATGAGACAGTGAGTACGTGAGTATATGGGTCAGTGGGTACAGAAGACAGTGAATACATGAGACAGTGAGTACGTGAGTATATGGGTCAGTAAGTACAGAAGACAGTGAATACATGAGACAGTAAGTACGTGAGTATATGGGTCAGTGGGTACAGAAGACAGTGAATATATGAGACAGTGAGTACGTGAGTATATGGGTCAGTAAGTACAGAAGACAGTGAATACATGAGACAGTAAGTACGTGAGTATATGGGTCAGTGGGTACAGAAGACAGTGAATACATGAGACAGTGAGTACATGAGTATATGGGTCAGTGAGTACAGAAGACAGTGAATACATGAGACAGTAAGTACGTAAGTATATGGGTCAGTGGGTACAGAAGACAGTGAATACATGAGACAGTAAGTACGTGAGTATATGGGTCAGTGAGTACAGAAGACAGTGAATACATGAGACAGTGAGTACGTGAGTATATGGGTCAGTGAGTACAGAAGACAGTGAATACATGAGACAGTGAGTACGTGAGTATATGGGTCAGTGAGTACAGAAAACAGTGAATACATGAGACCGTAAGTACGTGAGTATATGGGTCAGTGGGTACAGAAGACAGTGAATACATGAGACAGTAAGTACGTGAGTATATGGGTCAGTGGGTACAGAAGACAGTGAATACATGAGACAGTAAGTACGTGAGTATATGGGTCAGTGGGTACAGAAGACAGTGAATACATGAGACAGTAAGTACGTGAGTATATGGGTCAGTGAGTACAGAAGACAGTGAATATATGAGACAGTGAGTACGTGAGTATATGGGTCAGTGGGTACGGAAGACACTGAATACATGAGACAGTGAGTACGTGAGTATATGGGTCAGTAAGTACATTAGACAGTGAATAAATGAGACAGTAAGTACGTGAGTATATGGGTGAGTGAGTACATTAGACAGTGAATACATAAGACAGTAAGTACGTAAGTACACGGATCAGTGAGTACATTAGACAGTGAATACATGAGACAGTAAGTACGTAAGTACACGGATCAGTGAGTACATTAGACAGTGAATACATGAGACAGTAAGTGCGTGAGTACATGGGTAAGTGAATACATTAGACAGTGAATATCCGTAGGTGCCCGAATTTTTTGGAAATAAAAAAGCGTATGTTTTTTACTTTGGGATAAGTACCGTCACATGTGTGTGGCTGCAATGTAGCTTGGTGTAGCGAATGTCAACATGTGCCGTTAGAAACCGGCTTCACGCAGCCCGCATGAAAGCAAGATGTCATGTGAAAGGTTTTACACTAACAGAGTACCTGGCGCGGTAACGATTGAGGCGGGTGAGGTAACAACAAAGTGCGCCAATGGCGTCACACCATGTTTACAGACTAATGAAGGTTTTGCCTCCGATTCACAGATGGCAGAAAACGTTGTTGGCGACGTAGCGGCCAGCGATTTGCTAGGGTAACAATTATATACCCTGATCGGTATGGGGTCTGTAGTGTCATTGTGTAGGGAGGTATTTCGACATGACAGACGTACTGATTTGGGTATTCTGAATAGATATTTGACTGGCCAGCGATATGTTGACTATTATTTCATCAGTTTCCTTTTGTTTTGTGGAAAGTAAAATATAACAGCGCATTCTTGTAATTTGGTTTAATCTGATCCATCCATCTAAACAGTGTTTAAATAGTCAACAAGGAGGAAAGAACACACTGAGGGTGAACCCACTAAATTGTTACCATAAATCCCCCTATGTGTGAAGGCATTATCTGTTGGTTACGTTCCTTCGGTAAAACATCTCTACCAACAAATCAAACACCGGACGTCTTCGTATACTGAGCTATTTGTCAGATTGTTTCTGTTTATATTTCAGGAAGAATTGCTGAATTGCGTCAACTGAGATCAGAGCGAATATGGGTAAGTGAAAGGTGTTTTCATAGTATTGTTTTGCTTTGAAGCAAGTTAAACTAAACCAAAACGTGTACGTGCGTGCGTGCGTGCGTGCGTGTGTGCGTGCGTGCGTGCGTGCGTGCGTGCGTAACTCCACAATGAGATATTTTTCACAAACGTTGTAAAATCAAAACCGCTATAATAAAAAAGTAGAAGCAAATGTCATCTGAGCATTACTAAGAATACAATTTATGAAATGCCCCTCCTTGCTGATATGTGCATACGAGTCATAATTTCTGCTCGGATTGGCAAAATTCAATAAGGAAATTAGGCCAAGAAGTTTAATCTAAGTTTCAGTTGTATCGATGATTGATATAATTTAATTATGATCAAACCGTAATCCTCACGGGAAATGATGCTATATGAGCATTTGAAGGCGTTTTAGGATTGCTGGCATAATATTTACCTCAACTCACATGTCTATCTCACGTGTTGCATCCACCTGTAATTTATTCTTACGGAATGATTGTGGTATTGACCATATTCATAGAATTGTGTCATTTGTGTCATTAGATGGGGAATGGATATGCGGACATTGTACATTCGAGAACGATGGCCTCATGCAAAAATGCAAAGCATGTTCTTCGCCGATGCCGCGACAGGAACCCAGTCTCTTGGCTGATCCAGAACCCAATCTGTGCAAGACAGGTAACGAACTTAATTAAAACAAATGCACACTTAACGATTTTTAATACTTCAGTTTTTTCTTCAAAATATTCATGAATAATCCAGCCTGATAAAATTCAAATCAATCTGATGCAAAATTAATATGAACTGTATCGCTGTGTTTGTGTACAGAAAAACAGTAAATATTGATTACATGTGGAAGGGATAAATTTACCTTTCGTGTCTGTCATGGTGCATCGTCTGCATTACAGGGACCTCTGCCCTCTGTCCGACCAACGAAAGGAGAATAGTCTTCCTTGGAAGAACAGGATCAGGAAAAAGTGCTACGGGCAATAACATCCTTGGGAAAGAAGTATTTGAATCAAGCGCATGTGGCGAATCTCTTACCAAAAGGTGCCAGAGAGGAACCAGCAACCGATTTGAAAGAAATATCCAAATAATCGACAGTCCTGGGTTGTTTGACACAGGTATGACAAATGCTGAAATCACGAAGGAAGTAGTGAAATGTATCGGCATGACAGCTCCTGGTCCCCATGCCTTTGTCCTCGTTGTCAGGATTGACCGTTTTACTCAAGAAGAACAGGACACGGTAGATCATTTCAGACGGGTGTTTGGAGAAGATATGTTGGATTATGTCATTGTTCTGTTCACCAGGAAGGATGATCTTCTGCATGATAAAAAAAGCATCATGGAGTATGTAAAGAAAGTCCCCCAGCCACTGCGAGACCTAGTGAAGTCATGCCAGGATAGATATGTTGCCTTCAATAACAGAGGCAGTGACGAGGAAAAGGAACAAGATGTGCAGGATTTCCTCGCACTGGTGGAAGGCGTTGTTAATGACAACGGAGGCATGTGTTATACAAATGAAATGTATAAGGAGGCTGAGAAGAACATGATGATGAGAGAGAGGCAACTCAAAAGGGAACATGAATGTAGGATCCAACAAGAAAGAGACGCAATCTGGGGAGAATTTGAGTTGAAGCTTCAGATGGAGCATGATGCAGCATCGGAAGTGAGAAAACAGCTGGAGGCGAGAATAGGAGAGCTTGAAAGCAAGCAAGATGCTGGGGCTATGGCTGAAGACGAGATAGCTGATCTCTGTAGGGAAGTAGAGGATCTGAAAGTGGCTTTGAGAGACACCAAGAAACAGAAAGAGGAATCAGAAGGACAGCTGGATATGGAGAGAAAGAGGAGAGACAATGAAATCCGGAAAAGACTGAAGACAGAAAAGCAGGACTTTAGAGAAACGGCGAGAAATGAGGTCAATAACGAGAAATCGGGGATAATGTCCATGCTTGGAAACATACTGCCAACCCTCATCGGTTCAGTCCTTCCCAGGATTAAAACTTTTTTCAAAGGGCTGTTCAAAATGTAAATGTCTTTTTGTCCAGTCAATTTGTCTTTTCCCTGCTAGGAGACATCACTCAAGCGGTCACGTTCTTTCCTTCCATCTCTACACAGACGCCACACAGTTATAAGTGACATCTGTTATATGTTACCTGTAAACTGACAATCAGTCGACATTGCCTTCGATCCTAAATTGAGATGCGTAGGTGACATCAAGACCTGAATGGCACTAAACTTACTCAAACGGGCGCAGTCGGGTAGCCTAGTGGTTAAAGCGTTCGCTCGTCACGCCGAAGGCCCGGGTTCGATTCCCGACATGGGTACAATGTGTGAAGCCCATTTCTGGTGCCCCGCCGTGATATTGCTGGAATATTGCTAAAAGGGCGTAAAACCATACTCACTCACTCACTCACTCACTCACTCACTCACTCACGGAACAGTGTTAAACAGATTGAACAACTTAATGATAATCTATTCCAAGACTACAAGAAGAAATCTGACACTCTCGGTACTTAATGCTGACACTCCCCGTGCTTAAAATAGGGGTTTCATTGTCGACCCCAAAACTCGGTTCGTAATCTGGGCGTAGTATTTGACTAATTCGCAATGGCTGAGTCCCACATCAACAAAGTGTGCAAACGACCACCAGAAGCATAGAAATAGACAAAGGTTCATCAATACCAAAAGAGCTGCTACCTTAGTGTCACTGCTGGATAATTGCAGACTCGCACAACTTCAAATTCAAGACGATATGGGTACAATGAATGAAGCCCATTTCTGGTGACCTTCGCCATGATAATGCTGGAATATATTGCTAAAAGCAGCGTAAAACCATACTCACCCACTCAAATTCAAGAAACTGTCAGCAAAGTCCGGTTTTAAAAGATCGTCACAGATCGCTGCCATAATGAAATACAAGACAAAGCATAGCTCCGGCATTTCGCCAACAACTCGCCAAGAAGTACGCGTCATCAGGACTCCAGTGTGTTCCAGCTTCGCGGACCAGTCATTTTGCTGATCGCTGTTTTGTAAGAGCTCTGGGATCAAAAACCACTTCCAAATTAAAAACATCGAAAGCCTGATTACTATCCAATACAATCTAAGGACTCCCTTTTCATTGAGGCATGCATGTAGACTAGATGCTCAATTGTTTTCTTTCTCTCAATATATTCAGTGTGATGTAGTCAGCGAACAGTGCTTCGACGCAGATAGCTTTGATTGCATTCTATCGCTGCACAAATGCTTACTAGTTAGTATTACTGATTATTATTACAAGTGTTTAAGAATTCCTACTATCCTCTGCTAAATATGCATGCTACAAATATACATATGGATATATATTACTGGATTTATTTACATATATGTATGGCGAAAATGATATGTTTCTGTTGCACATTTTGTGACGCGGGCTTTATGTCATTATATACCCTCACGCTGAAGGAGAGACAATGTTACAATGAGATACAATACGACTAATCTTGAATCACTGATATGAACTGATACATTTGAGCTTTTGGATGTAAGATGGTAATAACATGTCTCGCATGTTGTATTGATATAAAATAAATTGAACAAAAGTCTATGTTGTCGATGTGTTTCTTTAATCAAAATACAAATATTGTTTCAACTGCTGATTATCTGTAACGAATGGACAGTCTATGCATTCATGCATTAATTCCAAGTCATGCATAACGAATGTACGACTATATCACACAAAATGCAAACTACGGGCTAGTTCAGATGCCGTGCGGATGACGAAGCAGTAAAGATGGACATGTACAGTAAACTACGGTTATAGCGAACTCAAAGGGACTACTATTTTTAGTTCGTTATAACCGTAGTTCGTTATAAGCATATATACGGCATAACTACAGCAAATAGTCGGGACTAAAAAGGTAGTTCGTTATATCCGTCAGTTCGTTATAGCCGTAGTTTACTGTATAACGAATGTACTGCATGAACTGTCCTTGCAGCATGTTTGCGTTGTACGTAGCTGTACATTCGTTACAAAACATGAGGTGAGGTGAAATGGGGTTTAAGGTCACGTCCAATATTACTGCATTTATATAGCGACGTGCATGCACGTGTGTGTGTGTGTGTGTGTGTGACTGTTTGTACTAGTCCGGGCTGATACTGATTTATAGTGCTAGCCCACTGATATATGTATTCACATGAATACCCCACTCAGACACATCATACTGACTCCGAACCGACCAGTCCTTGTTTTAGCCCCTTAATGCCGAACGCCAGACAGGGTAACAATAAGTACCATCATTTAACGTCTTTTTGGTATGACGCGGCCGGGGATCGAACCCCGGACCTTCTGCTCTCCGGCCGGACGCTCTACCACTAGACCACGAAGGCGGCCTTACAAATAATGAAACTTGCATCACTGGCTGTACAGTCTTTTCAAGTAACGTATAGTGCAGTGGTGGGGGTGAATGTTGCTTTACGTGAGTAAGCTGTATTGTGACAGGCTGTAATGATGTTTGAGGTTAACTGCATTAACTATGGTACTGGCTGTCGGAACAAGTTGACACAAAATAAAATAAATTAAAAATGTGTTAGCCGGCTCACAACACAAAACATGGGGTACTGCGATTCGTACAGAAGTACCCACGGGAGCTGATATTGTACGGATCGGAGATGCATATTGGACGCACCTATTACAGTAGTAGAAGTACAGAAGTAAAAACAACTTGTTATGCAGAGCCGTGTCCCTGTATTAACTATGCAATGATTCGCTGGTACACAATCACTTACACACACACACTTTATTGTCCCTCCCCTTTATCTCTCTCTTCCTCTGCCCACCTCCTCTCTCTCTCTCTCTCTCTCTCTCTCTCTCTCTCTCTCTCTCTCTCTCTCCTACTCTCTCTCTCTCTCTCTCTCTCTCTCTCTCTCTCTCTCTCTCTCTCTCCTACAATGTACATACGTCTAAAGGGAACATTTAAGGTAATGTTCATGAATCCGACAAGGGACTTAGTTGGTAGGTTTCAGTGTACTATTGTCAAAGTTGATGGTGCCTTCGAACCACCTCCGTGGTCGACTGACAAGAGAGCGGAAGGTCAGTTGTTCGATCTCCGGCCGCGTCATACCAAAGACGTTAAAAGATGGCATTAAGGGGATAAAACAAGGATTAGTCGGCTCCGAGTATGTGTCTGAGTGGGGCATACATGTTTAACTGCGGTGTGGTATCTTAATTGGCTAGCACTATGAAACCGGCATTTAACCGGACAAGTAAATGCGGTCACACACACACACACACACACACACACACACACACACACACACACACACACACACACACACACACACACACACACACACACACACACACACGTGAACATCCCCTTTTGTGGCTTCGATATTTATCGCATCTTCACGTTCCAAGGTATATAGTCCTGCCCGTTAGGACATACATCAGTTCTCTATTTGAACCTGAGCAATCACTACCTTGTACGTCATGCAACAGGAAGTTTAGTGCAAGCTTCATATCACCAAGCCAAAGACCCCGGGTAAGCTGGTAAAGATAATTTGTGAGTATTTAAATGGATTCATGGTTGATTCAGTTGTTTTATTTTATTGTTTCATTTTTCCACTGGCTACAGGAACGACCTGCCATAGCAATTCATTAAAAAGTATTGAATCATGAATTTATCTCACACGTCTTTTTGTCAGACTGCGTTTAACATGGGCTTATTTATTCTGTACCTATATCCAGTGTCGATCACTAATTCTTTATTTTTTGTTGTTGTATGTCTTGTATGCAATGATTTATCTTGTTAAACATATTTTTTTCTGAATTAATTGTGTGTCAACGTATGTTGACTGGTTGTAGGGTAGCCTAGTAGTTAAAGCGTTCGCGCTTAGGGCCTAATGTTCGGGTTTGACTTCTGACATGGGTACATTTGTGGTGTCCCCGCCCTTATATTGCTGGAATACTACTAAAATGCGGCGTAAAACATAAACTTACACACTTATCTGAGCCGAATGTCCGTATCGATATAGATACGTCCATCATGGGTTGTTTTTTTAACATTCCTAAATCCATGCTAAAAGTGCTGATGAATATATTCGTCCAATATTGAACATACAATTCAAGGAAAATGTTATTGCTGCGCATAGAGAATCGTCTATTTTTTTACAAATATGTCTTCGACGAACAAGGCGTTTTTAAATTGTGTATATTAATACATGTACTCTTGCTAAATGACCCATATAACTTATCCCCAGGTATATCCATGTAAATGGAAAACTACTTTTTGTATAAATATTCTAAAGGAACGCGAGTCTGTCCAGATGAGCCAAATAGCTCGTATTGTTCATATTGAAACAAGCTCTAAATGTGGGGAATACCCACTGCAAACAACTTCCGTAAGCAGCATCAATACACTTTCTGTGTTTGTATTTGGGAGGATATTGTTTCAGTAAAAGCAGATTAATTTCGGTGGCTGTGGATAGGGAGAAGGAACAAACAATTACATGGGAAAGCGAAACACAATGATAAAACATAAAATAGGAAATTAAAACTGAAACTTTGAGTTAGCAGCGGCGTGGACGGACAAACTCTCATTAGAAACACAAACACATATAAAAAACAAACATGACAATCACATGACACGTCACAAACACACCATACACAACAGCACACATGACACTTATAAAACAGATCACAAACACATGTACACCACAACACACATCACTAACACATGACACGTCACAAACACACCACACACAACAGCACACATGAAACACACAAGATATATCACAAACACATGTACTCCACAACACACATCACTCACACATAACGCGTCACAAACATACCACACACAACAGCACACATGACACACACAAAACATATCACAAACACATGTACTCCACAACACACATCACTCACACATGACGCGTCACAAACACACCACACACACCAGCACACATGACACACAAGATATATCACAAACACATGTACACCACAACACACATCACTCACACATGACACGTCACAAACACACCACACACACCAGCACACATGACACACACAAGATATATCACAAACACATGTACACCACAACACACATCACTAACACATGACACGTCACAAACACACCAGACACAACACACACATGTACACCACAACACACATCACTAAAACATGACGCGTCACAAACACACCAGACACAACACACACATGTACACCACAACACACATCACTAACACATTACACGTCACAAACACACCACACACAACAGCACACATGACACACACAAAACATATCTCAAACACATGTACTCCACAACACACATCACTAACACATGACGCGTCACAAATACACCAGACACAACACAAACACATGGACACCACAACACATATCACTAACACATGACACGTCACAAACACACCACACACAACAGCACACATGACACACAAGATATATCACAAACACATGTACTCCACAACACACATCACTAACACATGACGCGTCACAAACACACCACACACAACAGCACACATGACACACAAGATATATCACAAACACATGTAATCCACAACACACATCACTCACACATGACGCGTCACAAACACACCAAACACACCAGCACACATGACACACAAGATATATCACAAACACATGTACACCACAACACACATCACTAACACATGACGCGTCACAAACACACCACACACAACAGCACACATGACACACAAGATATATCACAAACACATGTACACCACAACACACATCACTAACACATGACGCGTCACAAACACACCACACACAACAGCACACATGACACACACAAGACATATCACAAACACATGTACTCCACAACACACATCACTAACACATGACACGTCACAAACACACCACACCATCATAAACATAACTCAGACACACATCAGACATAAACATTCCCCAGACACAAAACACACACAAATACAAACACAAACAAACACCACAAACTATAAATACAAAAAAACTACATGACGTGTACAATCATTGAAGTGGGAGAGTGAGTTGAGCATAAGGTCGTGTTTTGGAACTGTTTCAGTTCATTATGGGAGGAGAGCCCAATGTAACGGTAGATGCCGATGTTAGACACATTGCTCACGGGGGGCACGGGGGGCACGGGTGGCCCAGTCGTCAGATTTCACCAAAGAATTACAAACGTTGTCAAAACCTTACTGGTATGAAAACAATCTCCGAGAAACTGTAAACCCGTTTCAAATACATCAGGGGGCACGGGTGGCCCAGTCGTCTAAGGCGCCGCGATTCGCTGTGCAGACTTGCGTCCCTTGGGCACGCCAGAAACCTATGATTGTGGGTTCGAATCCCGGTTCTCCCCGATTATGTTTCTAGGCTTGTCAGCACCATACCAGTGCTCGTGGGTTTCACCGAAGTGGTAAACGTCTGAGACCTGCATCACTTCGGGCTTTCCTCCCACATTGAGCTGTCACGCCGCGAAATAACTGAAATAGTGTTAAAAGCGGTGTTAAACCCATCTCACTCACTCACTTTGCTCACATCCATGATCAGATGTATGGGGCTTTTGTGTTGCACAGAAAGCAAGACTCGGACATGGACGAATCTTAAATTAGTGCTCTTTAAAAAGTAATATGTATTGAATCTCGGTCATGAATAACTGTGCAAACTATGCATCCGTGAATGGAAAGTGGTTCAACTGTTTTTCTACTAGCATCGCGTTCGTGTGAAATGTTCTCCATCATCGTTTTTTAATGCAAACCAACCAAGGGTCATAATCAGGGCGAATCGGATCCTGGCACGCTTGGGAGAAGCAGCTCCCCACAGCGAATAGTAGATTAACTTTTGTTCTCTGAAATAAACAATTTTGTTAGAACCAAACAACTGCATTTAAACTGGAAGGAACCCCAGTGAGGTGTGAGATTCAGAACCTGAGCTTCATTTCGTACTTCAGCAGTACAGTAAGCTGGGCGGAAGGGAAAATATATGGTTCAGGGGACCGTACGCGTGAGACAGACTTAGCGAATCGCTGCACCTTTGACAACTGGGCCACTCGTGCCCCCGTTTTGTGACCACTCACTTGCTGAGTATACTTCAGGATGGTGATATTTTTAATTTCTGGTTTCAGGCCATTGTCATACGAACACGGAAACTGATTATCACTGTTTCCTGGTTGACCTATATTGCTCCGTAGGCGGAGATTTATTCAATACTTATTTTGTAAGGTTTAGGTTTGGCATTGTTATTACAGCAATCGTGACATTGAAAACGTGACTCGTTTTCTTTTGTTGTAAGATGAGGAATGACACACCGAAAGTACGAGACAGTTGTCACAGGTTAAATCAACCCCAGCTATTTTTCCCGTCAACAAGTTTCATGTGGTTAATATGTCCTTAATTCCAAGTGATATCATGCCACTATTGACAAGCCAAAGTACAAGCGCAAGCTTTGTAAGTCTCGTTATTATCAGGTTGTTCCGCAAAGTTATGTAAATATTTATGTTCATCGCACTGATAGAAATAGCTAGTGAAGTTTACTTACTTACTTTATGAATTCTCCTGTCCACTCAGACACTAACTTGTTAGGAGGTTTTACTAACCAGTTAGTAAATATTTGCAGATTAGACTAGTATATGTGGTATATCGGCTCTGTAATTTTTAAAAGGAATGGAGAGTTACTCAGACATGCTCGTCTTCAGGATACCCCTTCTCCTCAGCGCTGCCCCCTTACAATGTACCAGGAGGGATAGTCAATTTACTTGACTTTTTCTCAGTGCGATACCATTCACTGGGTTGGGTTGCACATCCTATGAATCAGTGACCTCTAAGTTTAGGTCCCTTTAACCCCCTGGATGCCATTTGGACATATATGTCCCTACACAAAACGCAGTTGCTGTGCCAGAGGGACATATATGTCCTTCTGAAACATCATGTTAAAAGAATTGAAATAAAATATTTTTGGATTAACCCAAGCCCATAGCAATTGCAACATCGCAAAAAGCAGTAAATTTCCAACACATCTGTGTCATTTTCACAACTCTACTGTCAATAAATAACGCATATGGAGTTAGTCAAATTCCCCTTGTTTACACTTTCGTTCAAATGTGCCGCCATTGAAATATTTTTTCATTTCGAACAAATTGCACCGACTGATTGAAAATCCATATGCGAAGGAATGTTTGAAACCTACATAAATATTTTGGTTAAAAGATTGAAAATGGTCAAATATCTACGCATCTATGTATTAATTAGCTAATGAAACCAACTAAATGCCCAGTTTATCGATGGTGAATGGAGTGTATATATTTTTTTTACAGTATTTGTTCAAGGCCTCGTTCATCACATTCATATCAAAGCGTATTCAAAAACATTCATACAGTTATACATACCTACTGACATCTTTTAAAAACAGTCTGTGTGAAAATGTGCCACTTCTCATATTCATACGTATACTTAGAAATTCCATTCATGCTTCCTAAGCCTCAAATTCTGCAAAAACACAGAAAAGGTACCGCAACTTTTTATCAGACATTCTTGAACACCCATGGTAGAACGACCTCCCGTCTGGACTTCCACATGTCCCTTCTCCACTCACTCGTCGGGAACACTCAGGTGAAGAGGAGGACTGGCAGGCCCAGGACCCAGCCTCCTTCCCGACGACTGACTGGACGTCACTTCATAGAAGTGCTGCCTGAAGGGAAGAGGAAACAGTGTGTTCTCTGCAGAAAGAGACAGAGGGCCATCGATGGCTCTGCAGGAAAGGTCAGGACCTGGTGTCCTGACTGCCACGTTGGCCTCTGTGCACGCTGTTTCCGTCAGTATCACACAGCTGATCACATTGAAGAGTGAAAGGCTGTGTGTACTGGCATATGATGGAACATGACTCATGTTCCATCATATCAACCCTTCAAGCAGTTTCCCCATCTGTGTGCTTCATTGTAAATAACTAGTGAGTGAGTAGGACTTACGCCGCACTTGCAATATTCCAGCAACATCGCAGCGAATCTTTGTAAATAGATGATAAATATATTGTATATATGTACTTATTGTAAATATTTCATGTGTGTGTATATATATTAAAGGATGTTTTTGTGAGAGAGTATGACCTAACGCCGTATTTGCAATATAACAGCAACATCATGGCGATTTTATTGTAAATAGATCATTGTCTATTGTATATGATTATGTACTTATTGTAAAGAAGTGAGTTTGTTTTATGCCTCTTTTAGCAATATTCCCGCAAAAATATGGCAGTTTAATGTACTTATGTTCATATTATGTTCTCTATTTATTGTACATGTAATTATTGTGTGTATGTAAGGATCTGTTTGTGAGTAGGACTTCCCACTGCATCTGCAATATTCCAGCAACATCGCAGCGAATCTTTGTAAATAGATTGTATATATTGTATATTGGTACTTACTGTAAATACTCTATTTGTATATTTCAGGATATATCTGTGAGAGTATGACTCCATGCTGTATTTGCAATATAGCAGCAACATCACAGCGATTAATTGTAAATAGATTAAATTCTATTAATGATATATATTATATATATTTACTGTAAATAGAAAATGGATTTGTGTATATATATAAAAGGACATGTTGGTGCGTGAGTATGATTCAACGCCACATTTACAATATTCCAGTTAATTCGTGGCGATTCATTGTATATGGATTATTGATCTTTTGTTCACAATTATGTACTTCATGTAAATAGAGTGAGTATGATTCATGCCGCTTTCAGCAGTATTCCAGCTAAGATGCGGCCTTTTTTTAAAACTTTATTGTACAAAGTTTATATATTATTCACATGTAAATACTGTCAATAAATATGTATAGATTGAGAGATTTGTACATTTGTCTTATATATCTCATTTAAACAGTTACAAGATTTTTTACTGATGATACTTTTCAAAATATTAAATAAAGGACATTAAGGACAGTAAGTATAACAGTAAGGACCTTGGAATAAGAATTAATTTTCTAAAGTATTTCAAATTACAGCCATATGAAAGTGTGGTTGTTCCTCTGGAATATTAACAAAATATTCAAAAATGTTCACAGATTATTCATGTATGCATATGTAAGCATACTTTTTAATTATTAATTGATATATGGAAATCGATTCTCCAATGTTATCATAACCAATGACTTACATACATCTACACAACTAAAGAAACTTTTTACTTCTAATCCTTATTATGATAAACCCTTAAAAATTGAAAATTTCTTCTTGTCTGTATTATACCTTAACTATTGGTCAGTTTGGCAAGGACTATTGGACAATTGCCACGTCTTTGCCGTAACGTATTCTGATAAAGTTCGCTCAACAGACATAATGTTATCCATAAATTTTAGCGGTAAATGCCACGAGCAAGCGCGGACGTGAGAGAAGACAGCAAGCCGTGAACGTATTTGTTACGGCTTGCGCAAATCTGAAATGATGCCCGTTTTTTTCGAGCGGGTAACCTGTGCCTTTTGGTGTTTACAAATTCTTCATAGATTACCTTTTTTCAAATTCGTCAAACAGTACCAGGAATACATGGTTTGATTTGTATTAAATGTCCGTTGAAATATACTTCGGATAATGGTATTCATAACAGCTAGTCTACCACATCGCCATGGAAATCATTCGTCAAAAAGTTCCCGAAAGAAAGATTAATTATCGAGATCAATTTTGATTATACTTTGCACATTTCATGACAAAAATCACATATACATCCATCTGACTGTAATAAATGTTAGCTAATACAGTTCCTTTGGGTTTGTGATCAGTGGATCCATGTCTTTAATACTGCTTGATGGTCACTCAGTGGCTGCTGATGGAAGCAGGGACGGAGATGGAAATCGGGAAAATATGACCAGATCGGAACGTTTGAATCTTTGATGAATCAATGCGTTTATCATCTCCAAATTACGACAGATTTCAGACCATCACTAGAACACTAAGCTTTGCTTACAGAATGATGTTCAAATGTACTTACTATCTCGGTTGCTGTCAAAGATGTTATAGTAAATCCAAAATCCCAAACACCGCTGAACACGGTCGACGACATTTTGAAATATTCAAAACTAAAGCTGTCGACAACAAAAAAGGCATTTTCGTATTGTTTCTACTTCATGTGAATTTTTTTTATTGTTTTGTGTTTGTATAATCGTTATTAGTTAAAAATGAAAATAAAACAACGTTATTAAGGATTCATAAAGATACGAGACTAACTCGTTCAATCGTCTGTATGCAAATTTTGTCGACGTGCAAATGGACATGTCCGCCATCGCCTGGTAGGAGTATTTACAGTGAACTGATTGACATGAGCCGTGAGGAATACCTTTCGGTGCAAGAAAAGTAAAAATATGCCATGCATAAGGGCATGTTCTTTGCAGATTACATGGTATGATTTTCTTACTAAAAAATGAATAATGACCGAAAAGAAAAATCATTTATTGCAATGAAGAAAACACAACACCGCGTATAAGTTTTAGTTTGAAATGCGATTTCGTTCTCTTCTTTCTAAAAGTACGTAATTTTGAATTTCATAGCTAAGGTTACACGTTACAATTTATATCAGCATGTAGGTAATAAACCACAGATTTTAGGGATAAGATTTTATTCCTTACTCATAAATAGTTTTTTCATTAATATGCTTTTTCCGACATGATATGCAAACGATAACGTTACAATTTCACTAATTTACGGACAAAATGGCGTCACACATATTTGAACAAATTCGTAATCGACGATTTCGCGGACGATTTTCCACGGAGATGTTTCATTTTCAACACGGTAATCGGGAAACAAACGGGCTTTCGCATAATGTTTTTGGTTTTTACATTGGTGGAGATTTACAACCTGACAAGACGCTCAAAGTATCCAGTGCGCAATGTCAACAAAACAGCCGCCATGGACATTTTGTAAAAAATCGCATATTCAATACGTTTGCCGAGCTATAAACTACTGTTAATAACGTTAATGCTTTACAATATTTACATAGACAGTTAGGGAAATGGTTGTGCTGTTATAGTGTGAAATTTGAAAATTGTGGGTTTTATCGTTGTTACGTTACGTCGTTTTTAGACGAAAGTGTGCAGTTTCCAGAACGTCACTCGCAAATAAACTCGGCACAGCGATAGTACACAGGCTATTTTTAGGTGGCAGCCAGAGGGTTAACCCTCTGGCTGCCAGAGGGACATATATGTCCCTCCTCTACAACCCTCACTTTGAAGTCGAATAAAATTCAAAATACATCACCCACACAACAACACTTTACAGTTTTGAATAAGGTGGGAAATTCCCTGTCCTGTGATATCATCCACTGGCATTTTAGGCCAAGCAAAAGTACTGAACATGACCTCTGAAAATTAGGTACATCGTAAATGTCGCCATTTTTTACACATTACTAAATTAACACTCACGGCGTTATTTACAGCATGTTTTGAAATCTAAATTTCGGATATTTACTCGGAGAAATGAATTTCAAAAATAGCATATTAGTTATCACGGGTATCTGTCTTTTATGAAATCACCAATGATCATTCAAAAACGTCTCCGATAACCCTAGAATCGTTTAGAATGTTTTGGGAAAAACGAAAACACGAACGCCCAAGTGAACTTTCCGCCATATTGGATAGTGTTTACAAAATCACGTTTCAGTTACACCGGTTATGAGACGCCTGTAACATCACGTATATTTCAAACTTATCTGCAATACCTACATCCTTGAATTCCTCATACATTTTAGAATCAAATGACCAGTGGTCTTTGTCACCAATACAAAGTGGCTAGATGAAATCAAGCAAAATAACTTAGGTGTGAAAACGAACGCTGTGCTCGAAAAACTGCACATGGTTGAAATGTAAACAAAGCAAAATTCAGATTTTACACAGTGTAGCATATTCTCCTATTTTGAGCTATCCATTCGTCTATTCGTTCAATATATTGGCTCAACATTTTCAGAACATGCATGGGAAGAGAATCGTAGGAAGAAGTACGGAATTTCAAATAGATACATTGCAATGATTAGATATTTTCAACAGAAGTTGTCAACGTTACCGTTCTGGTTGACGCCATGACTGACGCAAAATCACGCACAACGACAACGGTATTTATCGGAATTTCTGACTATTTCCGTTTGTTTCTATGAAAATTATGACAACAAATAACAGTACATAGATTGTCAGAATGTTTCTGATTACTTACATGTCACATTTATGTTTATACGATCCCTGAATCAACGAAAGTCCCCTCGTACAATCCCGCGTACTGTTGAAAGTGTACACGCCATTTTGTAAAAGTGGGTCACAGGTAGTGATGTCATACGTCAACATTGTTGTACATATTTGGTCATTTCTTTGAGGTGAAGGTCCTTGAATGAGAGTGCACACGATCACTGTATCATGCTGTTTACAGTTTCAGTTATGGTGTATATTTTGCATGTCTTTTATACATTTTTTCACACAATTAATTTCACTTTGGATATTTGTCAATGTTCAAAATGAAATCATACGTACATATAGGCCACAACATGCATGAAGGAACCTTTGATAATCTCCTGTTTGTTTGAACATTGTTTACATAACAATGTGATAGGTTTATAGTGTCGACTACGATATTTCTTTCCTTTGGACAAGTGTTACAAGATGAAGTGTAAATGTAACTGCAGCATGTACATATTTCTTGGGATGTGTAATAAGTCAATATTATAAGTTCATATAACCAATGTCCATGAACAGCCGTTTCATTTTATTTTATAACTAAAACTGAATATATTACTTTAACAAAATGGATGATATGTTTCGTAAAATATATGCACACATTTCTGAAATGTCTTGGTCTTGGATTTGTCTTTTATGTCGTTGGATACAAAGAACAGTGATATCTAACGATTCACCAGGTGCGCGTTAGTCACAAACAATTTACGAATTAATCCTCTCGTTTTGCATTATATAATCAATGGTTACATTATTGTTTCAATATTGTGATCACAGGATAGTAAACAGTTTACTTTATTTCTCCAGGAACTGTAAAATGTATAAAAATAAAACCCATGCCAGGTACCCCGTTGGTTCAAACGTATACGATTACCCTGATAATTCTATACCAATAGAGCTTTCTTTGCATCTTTAATTGTGTAAGAAAAAATAGCATAATCATGAACAAATATATGTCCAATATTGAATATAATTCTTGTTGTTTTGAAATATTCTTTTGGGAATTTCATTACGTAAATTGATGCCAAACAGGTGCGTGTCTTGTCCAATTAAGATACTCGATAAACGTTCTAATTGTTTACATATTCAAGACATTATTTACTTGGTGAGAGCAGTCATTTTATGTTGTGTCGAAAAAGCGTCAAATTCAGTTCCACACATCGAGATTTTCCATACCATGAACGAAAATTAGGGGAGATATATATTAATCAAAATACCAGTGTCGTCTTTTTCCGACGTTATCCAAGACATAAAACCAGCCATGACGTCAAAAGGTATCGTGTTATTTTTAGGGTATTTCATAACATTTGGTGATAAGGCTTGTGCTCCATTAATAATGATGCAACATTAGTCAAATTACACTTACACAATCAGGAGAATGTTGGAATCTAAGGACAAAGTTATAGGTTAGATAAGGCCATCCATTTCTCTATTACCTCCTTTTTATGAAGTACGATTTCATCATTTCTGATGGGTATATTTTATAACTAAACGTGTACAGTTTCAATATTGATATTTGTGTTGGAATAGTTTGGTTCCTCCTGAACAAAACACCAAGAAAATATATTGTCCTTACCCACAGTTAATTCTCACCAAGTGACCTGAGTTACAACAAACTAGAGCTAAGCATAGCGGAGTTATGCCCCCTTTTCTTTGTACGTGTGTAACCTCTCTGTCACCTTTTGACGTCATAGAGAAAAATCAGTTTTCGTCATTTACGGCATGCTATTTTTGGAATTAAATGTATGTCGTTATACATACGCATATAACCCCATTTGATATGTAGTTATGTCGTTCAGATATTAGGCAGTATTTTGTTCGCTCACAGTTTCCGTAAAGCTTCTTAATTAAAAAAATTGTCGCACAGTACTTTTATCGGTGTACGATAAAAAGCGGAGAAATTTACTGTTTTTCAACGCAGAATAAATTCTCGGACAACACTTAGGAGTGTCTTTTTTAAAAACCGGTTTGATATTTACAGTTAAATTTACACTATCAAATAAGAAATTTAATATTCTCCACCTCTGCGTAATTTTATTGCCAGAGATAGATCCAGTGCCGCGTGAGCGCAATTCTCGCACAACCTTCACTTTTCCGATCTTAGGAAAATGTGCGTCAGAAAAAAACCTCGGCATCCAGAGGGTTAAAGCGGTGTTTCAATGAGTATCCAAATATAGGCCCCTTCGGCTCACGTTATAAGCCGCTAGGCTACCACCGCTAAGTTAATGATTTTGGATATATCGGGTTCACAGCATTTTTATAATGATTTTGTTCCACTTAACTTACTTATTTGACCTCTCACCAACACCATCCTTTTATTTCCAGCTGCTGTTCAATAATTGCCAAAATGTGTCTGTTTCCGCTATCTGTTTCCTACACGTTATTTATACATTGGTCTTTTGTCGGTTAATGAAAGGTACAAAAATCATTTTATACCCTTCTTACACACCTAACCTCCCCAAGGGGATACTTTTACCATTGCCCACCCCTCTTTGCCCCACCATTAATTGAAACCGTATTCGCAGAAATACAATATGGTTTGATTAGATATGTAAATAGCTAAAGAGAAAGACGGAAACACCATGTGTTAATTTTAGTATTATGATTGAGCCACAAACGGAAACTGCGAAAGCGAAACAAGACCCTTACATAACACAGCCGACCCATGTACATCTGTATTGCAGACAAAAGTGTAACGGAACTCACAAACATCCTGTTTCCATCCGTTGCGGACTACACAGACTTTTACATGTTGTATAAAGATGTAAGCTGTGACAACACAGTGTAGAGTGTAATGAAGAAAACTATGGCGTAATTATATGGCATGCAGATGGTATGCAAATATTAAGTATTAAGTATTATAGCTAAAATGGATAGAATTATCATTAAACCGCCCGCACGTTATCAGAAATGAGCGGGCCACTGTAACTTGATAATGCCTTCATAATGCTTGACGACGGGCCATTATCAAGCCCGTTGTGAGGTGACGTCATAAGGTAGAGAAAGTGACGTCACGTATTATAGTGACGTCATCTGGTTTGTTCTATGACGTTTCCATGTTTGTAAAATGGGGTCAGTGACATTCGTGTTGATTGCAAAAAATTTTAAAACCGATGTTGTTGTTTCTTTTTATCTGATAACAAATTCCATCCATTTTAGCTATAATAACGATAACGCTATTTTTCAGGGCATTATCATATGCAGAAGCCCTCGGTCTTTTCAACTGCCCTCCTTCGTCGGGCAGTTAATGGAAAACCTCGGGCTTCTGCAAATGATAATGCCCTGAAAAATAGCGTTATCCTTATTTTAATTAGGGTTAATTTTCTTTCATGTTCCTTCCTGAGTTGTTCCTCTCTCAGTATCATGTTCTTCTCCGCCTCATCATACATTTCACTTGTGTAACATTTCCACCCCGTTGTCAAGGAACATCCGGTCAACCAGAGTGAGAAAGTCCTTGGCGTCTTGTTCCTTCTCCTCCTCAATGCCTCTGTTATTGATGGCGATGCATCTGTTGTGACACGACTTGACTATGAGATATAAATACGAATAACTGCAGATTAACAGGCGTCTAACTTATTCATCAAAACCACCATTGTGTTAATGACTGATCAAGGCTGTAAGGTGTGGGTGTGAGTTTGATTGCCGGTTTTATACAGTGCTAACCCACTTATCATGCCTCTGTTTAACGTGGATACGTCAAACCTACTCAGACACAGTACACTAACTCAGAGCCGTTCAGTCCTTGTTTTATCCCCTTAATGCAGAGCGCCAGGCAGCGTTACAACACGTATCATCTTTTAACGTCTCGGGATATAACGCTGCCAGGGGATTGAACCACCGACCTTCCGCTCTCAGGGTAGACGCTCTTACCCGCTTGACCACGGAGGCGATCTGCTGGTTATAAGAGGCGACAAAATGGATGGGTTGGTCAAAATCGGTGACTTAATTTATAACGTGTTAAGAACCTTTGGGGGTGCTGAGAAGACGTCAGTTGTACATTTATCTGTATATAGCGCCTGATGCTTAATCATAGAAAAAGATCCAAGTATCTTATATTGCATTCGCAATTGGGGATTCATGGTCAGAATATGTCCCCAACAACCAATGCTGCTCTTCAGACACGACCAAATTGACTGCGTGGTCAGCCTCGGCGAGTTGGTTGATTGCGTGTCTTTGTACCCAGAATCATTGCTCACAATATCGATCACTGGATTGTGTGATCCAGACTCGATTATTTACAGGCCGCCTTCATATACATGTAGCTGCAGTAACGCTGAGGGCGACGCTCAACAACAAATACAGACACACATTCATATTCCTTAAGCACACACAAGATCATTTATGCGCATATTTAATATGTTGTTCTTCTGTTATCAGATTGGTGCATTACAGACCCATATCATCTTGTGATACTTCAATCATGGGTATGTGTTATATATTTACTAAAGAAGCATATGTTGACAGATAAGGAATACTTTCAAACATAATTATCAGCACAATCAGAGATCACACACCAATATGGTCTCCGGCACATTATGTGATTACAAATGAATACGAAAAGGGTGCATTTAAGAAACATCTGAGGACATAGCGTTTTGTACATCTTTACAATCAAACAAGTGACATTCAAAATAACATAATAGATTTCATGCATTTTTATCAGACGTAAAAATAATCTTTACTCATTTCAAGTGAACAAGTTACTAAATAATTTCGTAAACAAATTATTGTTTTTAAAAAAATGAAGTAACATAACTACACACAAAGAGGAATATACATAATATTATCCTATTTGATAGACACTTCCTTTGTTAGTTTGTGCCTTGACCTATTTGTAATCATGACGATAAATTGTTGTTTGTTTGAAGATGAGGAATGGACGTGCGGAAAATGCACACTTGTCAACAGTGGCGATCTCCAAAGCTGCAATGCATGTGCCACGTCAAAGCCAGGTCGGGAGCCTGAACTGCCTGTTATGTCCAATCCAAAACAAACAGGTAACGATCACTTTGGATTCAAACTGCTATAAAACTTAAGGTTATTGCATTGTTTATTGAAGCACCCATTGGAATTCAGTGTCAGAATCCGCCGAATACTAGTACCTCGTAAGAAACGACTAAAACGGGAATCGAATTGTCAGGCTCTGTGACGTTGATTGCGTGTGATTTTACCCAACACCGTGACTCACTGCTTCGGTCAAGGAAAATCGTTATTCAATACCAATGTTCTAGCTATATGATAGCGGTCCTGATAATAATACAACCTGAACAAGACAACCTAATGATTGATATTATAAGCAATGTCCCATGCCGTTGGGGTACGATGGCAGGCAATAATCCAACTCACTAAACCTGACCACCCAATTCATTAAGACTCGTAGGACCAACAAAGGTTGTTCTAAACCGGAAACTCCAAAACAGGCATGAATTTGTACAGTGAAGAGGTTATGAGCTCATGAATAAGTATACACTATAACTATATTTTAGTATCCTTTGCATTACAGGAGGAGAATGTGGGTGGTCAGCTGACTGCCCTCTCATTGAAAGGAGAATAGTTTTCCTTGGCAGAACAGGATCAGGGAAGAGTACAACAGGCAGTAGTATCCTGGGAAATACAACGTTTGAATCAAGTGCCTGCGGGTCATCTGTTACCAAACGGTGCCAGAGAGGGAGAGGTATCAGATTTAACCGGGACATTCAAATAATCGACACTCCTGGGCTATTTGACACAGGTATGACGAATGCTGAAATCACGAAGGAGGTGATAAAATGTGTCGCCATGACAGCTCCTGGTCCCCATGCCTTTGTCCTCGTTGTCAGGATTGACCGCTTTACCAAGGAAGAACAGAACACGGTTGATCATTTCGGACAGATCTTCGGAGAGGACATGCTGAAATATCTCATTGTTTTGTTCACCCGGAAAGATGATCTCAATCATGACAATAAATCCCTACAGGAGTATTTAAAGAAAGTCCCTGTAAAACTGCAAGCCCTAGTCAAGTCGTGTCACAACAGATGCATCGCCATCAATAACAGAGGCAATGAGGAGGAGAAGGAACAAGACGTCAAGGACTTTCTCACTCTGGTTGACCGGATGTTCCTTGACAACGGGGGCAAATGTTACACAAGTGAAATGTATGTTGAGGCAGAGAAGAACATGATGCTGAGAGAGGAACAACTCAGGAAGGAACATGAAAAGAAAATCCATGAAGAGAGGAACACAATCAGGCGGGAATTCGAATTGCAGCTTCAGATTAAGCACGATGAAGCCTCAAGTATGAGGAAACAATTGGAGGAGAGAATAAAGGACCTCGAAAAGGAGAAAGTTGAAGAAGCAGAGAAAAAAGCGGAGAGTGAGATTGCTGCTCTCACGAAGGAAATGGAAGACCTGAAACTTGCCGTGAAAGGAATGCAGGAAGAAAAGGAGGCATCAGAGATACAGATGGAGTTGGATAGTAAGAAGAGAGAGGAGGACGCCCTGATGAAACTTAAAGCAGAAAAGCCAGATTTTCGAGAGGTGGTGAGGAAGGAGGTCAATGAGGAGAAAGCCGGCATAATGGGCATTATTGGATCTGTATTGCCAGCCTTCATTGGGGATCTTCTTCCGTCTATCATACCAGCCGCTGGGAAGTTTTTCAAGGGATTGTTCAAAAAGTAAAAGAATAGTATTACCAAAGTAATATGGAAAGACAGGAATCGCGACTGCGCAATCTACAGCACATATATGATAGCAACTTCCGTCTTTTGTCAATTGTCAAACGGTCATCCACTGTCGTCTGCCTTTGAAACATGTCAATTTGCTTGCTAGGTGGAAAGTGTTCTATTTGTAAATAATCGAAAAAAACATTTCCACACTCCTAAGAAATCTCTGCCAAAAGCAGAGTCGGTTGTACCATTCCAACTATATGATGAGTATGTGTTTATCACTCACTATCAAATAGTGATGAAACCAGGTGTTCCCGAAAAGATGAGCGTACCCTGCCTCACCAGTCTTTCCGGTGGTTCTGTAACAGCTATGCTTAAGGGAAACATTTACCTGCTTGTCTTAAGACGCTATGCAACTGACACGCCATCTTAGTTTATAGTAATTATCTGTAACCTGAACATTTAATCGTCAAAGATACGAGGCTTGGTCAAAACGTTTTAAGCCTAACAAACCAAACCAACAATTGTGAAAGTGTTTTTAATTTTAATTTTCAACATAATCTCAATGCTTTTCAATACACTTGTCATATCGATAGTGAAGCTTTTCAATTCCAGTCAGGAATAGGTTTCTGAAGCCACCCTGGAAAGAAACATTCAACGGGGTCACCGTTGGCGTCATAGCGCTTTTTCCACGAAGGTATTCTTCCAGTTTAGGAAACAGGTGGAAATCACTTGGTGCCAGGTCTGGCGAGTATGAAGGGTGAGGAAGCTCTTCGAACCTACATTGTTGCAAAGCAGCCTTTGCAAGTCGAGAGGTGTGAGAACAGGCATTGTCGTGAAGTAGTAGAACTCCAGCAGTCAGCGTTCCTCGACGATTTTCTTTGATAGAATCTCTCACGCAATGAAGCAAATCAGCATAATTGGCACCGGTAATCGTCTTTTGACTTTCTAAGTAATCAACAAGGATCACTCCCTCTGCATCCCAGAATACAGTGGCCATAACTTTCTTCACTGATCCTGAAGATTTGAATTTCGTTGGTGCCGGAGAAGTGGAATGGTGCCAGTCTTAAACATAGCTGCCAAACGTTAACAGTGAAATAGCTAAGACACTTATCCCCAAACATTTGTGACAAGCGGTCATGCTTTTCTTTGGGAGTACTTAATGACTGCTCGGTACTGGTTCTTTACAATGCTAATAAACTTCACTTCATTTACTAACTTTATTCTGTCTCTTACACGCTTTTCTTTTAAACCTCATTGCCAGATAAACACATTTGTCAGTGAACTTTCGTTTTAACCCAACTTCTAGTTCAAATTATTATTAAAAACACATACGAATGATAAATGACATCTAGAAAATTCATAGTTTAGTCATCAATTTAGTAGTAAAATTCTGTATCCTAAGGTAACTGTTCCGATCCCCCAGATACCTTCATTGTTATGTCGCAGCATCTCAGATTGTTATAAAAGGGAGAAGCGTCCAAAGTTACGCACCGTCTTGGTTAAAACATGAGAACAGATACGATACCGACAATGGTTGTAGCGAATCTGGGCTTGGACCGACATTCAGCAGACTTTGCACGGCTAAGGAATAAAGCGAAAAAAACTTTCCATAGCGAATAGAAATCTTTGCCAAAAGCGGGGTCGATTACATGATTCATGTGTCAAATAGTGCTGATACCAGGTGTTAGCGAAAAGGTGAGCGAACCCTTCCCCACCGGTGGCATCCGTCACAAACACATGCAAAGGCAAATCAATTGTTTACCTGAAAAAAACACGGGAAACTCTCTTTAACTAAGTTGTCAGTTGTATTTCCTTCTTTAGGCAATCTAGGCCATTTTTTCACTCAACTTGGAACAAATTCCAACATTATTTATTTTACCACAATGCATTTCTACAAAGTCCCGAAAACAACATACTAAAAGTCCAATGCAGTCCTAGTTTATCAATACATCTTCCATATTTCAGATGAGGTCCAATGTTTTGATGAATGTGACGAATGCAACCTTTTCGCGAACACCTGGTTTTATCACTATGTGATGGTGATTCATATACACATGCCCATGATATAGTCGGAATCGTACAATGGACTCTGCTTTTAGCAGATATTTCTTATGAATATGTAATGTTCAATTGTTTTGTCGATTTTATTTAACTATGAGATGTCATACATCGATACAGTTACCAATTAAAATGCATTAGATTGAACAGCCTGCGCGTACATTGAGGACACACCCATACGCCCCATACACGGGACCATCGTGACATGAATACTACCTCGTTCGCTCACTGCTATGACAGCAATTTACCAGCCCTACTTGTGCAGTGTTCCGGTCTGGCTTAATCACAAACTGTGCTTATCTCACATAAGGGACTATAACATCTTTCCATTCCTCGAGAATTTCGTCAATTCCCGAGGAGTGCATTCATAGGTTTTGCATTACAAGCCAACAAGTTATACAAACCAAAACAATTATGTCTGTCTCGTTCGTCTTTATCCTGGTACGGACCCGGAGTGAAAGGTTCACGGTTGGATAAAGTCTCTTTAAACATATATTTAATTATATCACATCGTATGAGCAAGGCTCGTATGATACGTCAATTCTATTTTTTTCTTTTCTTGTTATAATAATTGCAATTGTCATAATAAAAAGTTATATTGTGCATTGGCAATGCCCTTAATCGTGTTAATGGTGCCATGGAACCCTGAACACTCAAATTACATTTTCACCTCCCAGCGATTATGCTACCCACCTGGCACACATTCCGTTTTCCATGTCCGCTTTACACAGGACGACGTGCCACCATGCGACAAACACGAACAGTATTGAGTGAATTCGTAAAACAACCAGGCAGCCATATCCCACATATATTGCCTTGTAAATGTTAGTTTATAACGACAACCAAACACAAAGTAGTTTCAAACATTTATTGTGATAAAATACAAAATTATAAATTTGGCGTATGGGGAATTCTCAGGTTTGATTACGGGTGCCCATGATTGAGCATCAATCATGCCAAGCATTGGGAACGATTTGGCCACTTGCAAATAATAACATGACATGGCCAAATCGCTGGCACTAAGTGTGTACATGATCGAGCATCGGTCATGCCCAAGCATTGGGATCAAACGCTGGCTATAGTTCTGAGCCTCAGAGCACAGCGAGTGACTACACAGAACGGTACAAAATGGTGCGATAATGAGCATACAAGTAGCCTACAAGTTGGATGTGGATTATTGAACTTTAGGGGGAACTATCCCTGCAATTTGAGGAGGATAGTAAGGCCACAATTCGAGCCAGATGTGGATAAAATAAAATACCATGATACAGCTGGCTGAGAATCACATATATTGCCTTGTAAATGTTAGATAGACTGAAAGCATGAACAACGATCCACACAAACACGAGTTGACTCACAATCAAACTTACGAGATACTTTGGACAACGTGGACCTGTCCTTCCCCTGAATCCACACAGGGATATAGGTCGTTAATTCCTCAGACACCGTTGTTGAAATCTACTGAAGCGTATGAATGTGAACAGGTATCTTGATATTCAGATTCAGATCTCGATAGTAGATAACTTTCACTTCATTTCATATTGAGTCATTGCGGTTCGAAGACTATTAAAGCAGTTATCTTAAAACAGTCAGTTCATGCACTGTGGGTATGGAATTGGTATATTGAGTGAGTGAGTAGGGTTTGAAGCCGCTTTAAGCAATATGCCAGCTATATCACGGTGGGGGACACCAGAGCCCGGATTTTCGGCGCGACGAGCGAACGCTTTAGCCACTAGGTTACCCGACTGCTACTGTTGTATACTGAAATGCACTGTTGCATAAATGCAAGTAACGAACATTCCCCAGTTGCCCATATTGTATCAACGCCTATCAAAACAGTCGTTTACGAGCCAAAAATGTAAGCTGACAATTGATTCAACATTGGTCGAAAGAAATAGACAGATGGGTGCGTTACGCAACAGTTCTCTCGTTCGTTTCAAAACACAAATGCTATAAATAGGACAACGTCAGACCTTTCCTTAATCCAAATTCAGGACACATTTTCGCAAACAAGACATAGCTGGTTTCACTTATCAAAAGACTGGAAAAACCCTCCAACTACACCATTTCCCAGTATGTATAAATCCCACCTGACACCTGGTATAGCATACATTCCTTGATCAACCTCTGCCTCATCACATGCAGGTAGGTAAACTTTATATCATAACGAAGTGAATAGTGATAACATCTAACTTGTCATTAGTATTAGTAATAACGCTGCTAATAAGAGTTTACCATCACGGCAGCAAGAATATTCCCCATTCTTTATATATATATATATATATATATATATATATATATATATATATATATATATCTGACTCGACTCTTAACTCTTCATACTCTTTGTGATTTGATATACATAATAATGTTAGCTCTGATCTGCATGAATGTCCTATTTGTGTCACTGCTCTAGTTCAAACCTTCACCTACCAATACGACATCCCACTATCAACTACCCACTACCCTCTTCTCCTACCAATATCCACTACCAGCCTGTGCCCTAAACTCCTTAACATCAATGATCAGTTTGTGTCAGGGCCATATTTCAAAATCTAAATATTTTATTATTATACTTGTAGTAATGGCATGTGTGATTCATTTGGACGTTATTTTGTATTAATAACGAGTATCCTTATGTACGCTATGATCATTACTCTAACGCAACCCTACCATTCAACTCCCCATCATATGCTACAACACCCTACCCTAAGCCTAGCACTATCACTATCAAAACCCTTACCACGACTCACTACACCTACCAGCACGACTTTCCACTATCAACTGCCATCTACCCTCTTGTCCCTCATCTACCCTCTTGTCCTACCAATATCCACTATCATGTACCTCCTACTCCTTCCTTTACCCATTTCCACTATCCTCTATGCACTACCCTCTAATCCTACCAATATCCACTACAAGGTGATCCCTCTGCCCACTACTCTTTGCAGTACACACAATCACTATCATCTATCCACTACCCTCTACTCCTACCAATATCCACCACCACTAGCATCTACCCACTACCCCTATTAATACCATTACCACTATCCTCTATCCACTACCCTCTGCTCCTACCAATATCAACCACCATTATCATCTAACACTATCCTCTATCCACTACCCCCTACTCCTACCAATATCCACCACCACTATCATCTACCCACTACCCCTATTAATACCACTACCACTATCCTCTATCCACTACCCTCTACTCCTACCAAGTCAACTACAACTGGTGATACATACTATTCCTACCAGTACCCACTACCACTATCATCTAAACACTGCCCTCTACTCCTACCTTTATCCACAACCGCTATCATCTGCCCATACCTCTATCAATACTACTACCACTATCCTCTGTGCACTGCCCTATATCCATTACCACTATCACCTATGCACTACCCACTACTCTTTCTAATACCCACTACCACTTCCATCTATCAACAAAACACTACTCTTACCAATAGCAACTTGTACCACAACCCGATAAAGCGACAACTACAGACTACCACAACCACCTCCACATCCACTATTCATACCAACGACCAGAACCCCTAACACCTCCACTACCCAGAACACCTACCAGTAAGTATTCCACTGCCCATACCGACACTACCACTGCACGAAAGCTACCGAAACTCAATACCACTTCCTCTACCCAAACACCCGTGAATATCCGGGGTAGAATAGATCTTCAGCAACCCATGCTTGCCGTAAAAGGTGACTATGCTTGTCGTAAAAGGTGACGAACGGGATCGGATGGTCAGGCTCGCGGACTTGGTTGAGGCATGTCATCGTATCCCAATTACGTGAATCGATGCTCATGATGTCAATCACTGGATTGCCTGGTCCACACACGATTATTTACAGACAACCGCCATATAGCTGGAATATCGCTCAGTGTGGCGTTAAACAACAAACCAACAAACACATCTTCCTCCCAAAACAAATATCCACTCTCAACTACCAATACCACAGCCCCTTCTATCATCAACTACGCCTCCGCCTTCTCTACAACGACACCCGCCCCTACCGTCACCCACCTGTCTTTGTCTATTCCGTACTGGGGCGGTCCGGGAGCCTAGTGGTTAAAGCGTTCGCTCGTCACGCAGAAGACCCGGGTTCGATTCCCGACATGGGTACTATGTGTGAAGCCCATTTCTGATGTCACCCGCCGTGATATAGCTGGAATATTGCTAAAAGCGGCGTAAAACCGAACTCACTCACTCACTCAAAGCATGTTACATGATCTCTGTTAAGTGCTGGTCGCGACTGGCAACTACAGTAAACAAAGTACTGTACATGTTATGACGTGGAATGATCAGGATTTATAAATGGCAAGTTGATATCGTAAGAGAAACACTGAAAACACCCATGAGTAATTTATATTACAGTGAGATGAGTCATAAGAGAAAACAGCGAAAGCGAAACTAGACCGCTTGTATGACCCAAATAGCATAGATATAGGAAAGCTCCCAATATCGGCCGCACAGCCGTCATACATGCACTGCGCTTGTATGGAATATAGGCGGTGAATGTTACTCGTACAGTGTAATAAGCAATACACGCTTGGCATTAGAAGATATCTTCTGCGACAAGCGTCTCGCTTCAGGTTTGCTTCGTTGCTGTATGCATGTAGGGAAAGTTCAAGTGGGAGTGGTGGTGATCGCAGTAGCTAGTAGGAGTAGTAGTGACAGTAGTAGTAGAAGTAGTGTGATGATAGTAATAGGAGTGGTGGTTATAGTTGTAGTAGTAGTGACAATAGTATTAGAAGTAGTGTGATGATAGTAATGGGAGTGGTGGTTATAGTTGTAGTAGTAGTGGCAGTACTAGTGGAAGTAGTGTGATGATAGTAATAGAAGTGGTGGTTATAGTTGTAGTAGTAGTGACAGTAGTAGTAGAAGTAGTGTGATGATAGTAATAGAAGTGGTGGTTATAGTTGTAGTAGTAGTGACAGTAGTAGCAGAAGTAGTGTGATGATAGTAATAGGAGTGGTGGTTATAGTTGTAGTAGTAGTGACAGTAGTAGTAGAAGTAGTGTGATGATAGTAATAGGAGTGGTGGTTATAGTTGTAGTAGTAGTGGCAGTAGTAGTGGAAGTACTGTGATGATAGCAATATGAGTGGTGGTTATAGTTGTAGTAGTAGTGGCAGTAGTGGTGGAAGTAGTGTGGTGATAGTAATAGGAGTGGTGGTTATATTTGTAGTAGTGGTGACAGTAGTAGCAGAAGTAGTGTGATGATAGTAATAGGAGTGGTGGTTATAGTTGTAGTAGTAGTGACAGTAGTAGCAGAAGTAGTGTGATGATAGTAATAGGAGTAGTGGTTATAGTTGTAGGAGTAGTAGTAGTAGTAGTGACAGTAGTAACAGAAGTAGTGTGATGATAGTAATAGGAGTGGTGGTTATAGTTGTAGTAGTAGTGACAGTAGTAGCAGAAGTAGTGTGATGATAGTAATAGTAGTGGTGGTTATAGTTGTAGTAGTAGTGACAGTAGTAGCAGAAGTAGTGTGATGATAGTAATAGGAGTGGTGGTTATAGTTGTAGTAGTAGTGGCAGTAGTAGTAGAAGTAATGTGATGATAGTAATAGGATTGGTGGTTATAGTTGTAGTAGTAGTGGCAGCAGTAGTCGCACTAGTAGTGGCAGTAGTGTGATGATAGTAATAGGAGTGGTGGTTATAGTTGTAGTAGTAGTGGAAGTAGTGTGATGATAGTAATAGGAGTGGTGGTTATAGTTGTAGTAGTAGTGGCAGTAGTAGTGGAAGTAGTGTGATGATAGTAATAGGAGTGGTGGTTATAGTTGTAGTAGTAGTGACAGTAGTATCAGAAGTAGTGTGATGATAGTAATAGGAGTGGTGGTTATATTTGTAGTAGTGGTGACAGTAGTAACAGAAGTAGTGTGATGATAGTAATAGGAGCGGTGGTTATAGTTGTAGTAGTAGTGACAGTAGTACCAGAAGTAGTGTGATGATAGTAATAGGAGCGGTGGTTATAGTTGTAGTAGTAGTGGCAGTAGTAGTAGAAGTAATGTGATGATAGTAATAGGATTGGTGGTTATAGTTGTAGTAGTAGTGGCAGCAGTAGTCGCACTAGTAGTGGCAGTAGTGTGATGATAGTAATAGGAGTGGTGGTTATAGTTGTAGTAGTAGTGGAAGTAGTGTGATGATAGTAATAGGAGTGGTGGTTATAGTTGTAGTAGTAGTGGCAGTAGTAGTGGAAGTAGTGTGATGATAGTAATAGGAGTGGTGGTTATAGTTGTAGTAGTAGTGACAGTAGTATCAGAAGTAGTGTGATGATAGTAATAGGAGTGGTGGTTATATTTGTAGTAGTGGTGACAGTAGTAACAGAAGTAGTGTGATGATAGTAATAGGAGCGGTGGTTATAGTTGTAGTAGTAGTGACAGTAGTACCAGAAGTAGTGTGATGATAGTGATAGGAGTGGTGGTTATAGTTGTAGTAGTGGTGACAGTAGTAGTGGAAGTAGTGTGGTGATAGTAATAGGAGTGGTGGTTATAGTTGTAGTAGTAGTATTAGTAGCGACAGTAGTAGCAGAAATAGTGTGATGATAGTAATAGGAGTGGTGGTTATAGTTGTAGTAGTGGTGACAGTAGTAGTGGAAGTAGTGTGGTGATAGTAATAGGAGTGGTGGTTATAGTTGTAGTAGTAGTATTAGTAGTGACAGTAGTAGCAGAAATAGTGTGATGATAGTAATAGGAGTGGTGGTTATAGTTATAGTAGTGCTGACAGTAGTAGTGGAAGTAGTGTGAAGATAGTAATAGGAGTGGTGGTTATAGTTGTAGTAGAAGTAGTATTAGTAGTGACAGAAGTAACAGAAGTAGTGTGATGATAGTAATAGGAGTGGTGGTTATAGTTGTAGTAGTGGTGACAGTAGTAGCAGAAGTAGTGTGATGATAGTAATAGGAGTGGTGGTTATAGTTGTAGTAGTGGTGACAGTAGTAACAGAAGTAGTGTGGTGATAGTAATAGGAGTGGTGGTTATAGTTGTAGTAGTAGTGGCAGTAGTAGTGGAAGTAGTGTGATGATAGTAATAGGAGTGGTGGTTATAGTTGTAGTAGTAGTAGTAGTAGTGACAGTAGTAACAGAAGTAGTGTGATGATAGTAATAGGAGTGGTGGTTATAGTTGTAGTAGTAGTGACAGTAGTAGTGGAAGTAGTGTGATGATAGTAATAGGAGTGGTGGTTATAGTTGTAGTAGTAGTGACAGTAGTAGTAGAAGTAGTGTGATGATAGTAATAGGAGTGGTGGTTATAGTTGTAGTAGTAGTGACAGTAGTAGTAGAAGTAGTGTGATGATAGTAATAGGAGTGGTGGTTATAGTTGTAGTAGTAGTAGTAGTAGTGACAGTAGTAACAGAAGTAGTGTGATGATAGTAATAGGAGTGGTGGTTATAGTTGTAGTAGTAGTAGTAGTAGTGACAGTAGTAACAGAAGTAGTGTGATGATAGTAATAGGAGTGGTGGTTATAGTTGTAGTAGTAGTGACAGTAGTAGCAGAAGTAGTGTGATGATAGTAATAGGAGTGGTGGTTATAGTTGAAGTAGTAGTGACAGTAGTAGTAGAAGTAGTGTGATGATAGTAATAGGAGTGGTGGTTATAGTTGTAGTAGTAGTGACAGTAGTAGCAGAAGTAGTGTGATGATAGTAATAGGAGTGGTGGTTTTAGTTGTAGTAGTAGTGACAGTAGTATCAGAAGTAGTGTGATGATAGTAATAGGAGTGGTGGTTATAGTTGTAGTAGTAGTGACTGTAGTAGCAGAAGTAGTGTGATGATAGTAATAGGAGTGGTGGTTATAGTTGTAGTAGTAGTGACAGTAGTATCAGAAGTAGTGTGATGATAGTAATAGGAGTGGTGGTTATAGTTGTAGTAGTAGTGACAGTAGTAGCAGAAATAGTGTGATGATAGTAATAGGAGTGGTGGTTATAGTTGTAGTAGTAGTGACAGTAGTAGCAGAAGTAGTGTGATGATAGTAATAGGAGTGGTGGTTATAGTTGTAGTAGTAGTAGTAGTAGTGACAGTAGTAACAGAAGTAGTGTGATGATAGTAATAGGAGCGGTGGTTATAGTTGTAGTAGTAGTGACAGTAGTAGCAGAAGTAGTGTGGTGATAGTAATAGGAGTGGTGGTTATAGTTGTAGTAGTAGTGACAGTAGTAGTGGAAGTAGTGTGGTGATAGTAATAGGAGTGGTGGTTATAGTTGTAGTAGTAGTGACAGTAGTAGCAGAAGTAGTGTGATGATAGTAATAGGAGTGGTGGTTATAGTTGTAGTAGTAGTGACAGTAGTAGCAGAAGTAGTGTGATGATAGTAATAGGAGTGGTGGTTATAGTTGTAGTAGTAGTGACAGTAGTAGTGGAAGTAGTGTGATGATAGTAATAGGAGTGGTGGTTATAGTTGTAGTAGTAGTGACAGTAGTAGCAGAAGTAGTGTGGTGATAGTAATAGGAGTGGTGGTTATAGTTGTAGTAGTAGTGACAGTAGTAGTAGAAGTAGTGTGATGATAGTAATAGGAGTGGTGGTTATAGTTGTAGTAGTAGAGACAGTAGTAGCAGAAGTAGTGTGATGATAGTAATAGGAGTGGTGGTTATAGTTGTAGTAGTAGAGACAGTAGTAGCAGAAGTAGTGTGATGATAGTAATAGGAGTGGTGGTTATAGTTGTAGTAGTAGTAGTAGTAGTAGTGACAGTAGTAACAGAAGTAGTGTGATGATAGTAATAGGAGTGGTGGTTATAGTTGTAGTAGTAGTGACTGTAGTAGCAAAAGTAGTGTGATGATAGTAATAGGAGTGGTGGTTATAGTTGTAGTGGTAGTGACAGTAGTAGTAGAAGTAGTGTCATGATTGTAATAGGAGTGGTGGTTATAGTTGTAGTAGTAGTGACAGTAGTAGTAGAAGTAGTGTGATGATAGTAATAGGAGTGGTGGTTATAGTTGTAGTAGTAGTGACTGTAGTAGCAGAAGTAGTGTGATGATAGTAATAGGAGTGGTGGTTATAGTTGTAGTAGTAGTGGAAGTAGTGTGATGATAGTAATAGGAGTGGTGGTTATAGTTGTAGTAGTAGTGGAAGTAGTGTGATGATAGTAATAGGAGTGGTGGTTATAGTTGTAGTAGTAGTGACAGTAGTATCAGAAGTAGTGTGATGATAGTAATAGGAGTGGTGGTTATAGTTGTAGTAGTAGTAGTAGTAGTGACAGTAGTAACAGAAGTAGTGTGATGATAGTAATAGGAGTGGTGGTTATAGTTGTAGTAGTAGTGACTGTAGTAGCAGAAGTAGTGTGATGATAGTAATAGGAGTGGTGGTTATAGTTGTAGTAGTAGTGGAAGTAGTGTGATGATAGTAATAGGAGTGGTGGTTATAGTTGTAGTAGTAGTGGAAGTAGTGTGATGATAGTAATAGGAGTGGTGGTTATAGTTGTAGTAGTAGTGGAAGTAGTGTGATGATAGTAATAGGAGTGGTGGTTATAGTTGTAGTAGTAGTGACAGTAGTAGCAGAAGTAGTGTGATGATAGTAATAGGAGTGGTGGTTATAGTTGTAGTAGTAGTGACAGTAGTAGCAGAAGTAGTGTGATGATAGTAATAGGAGTGGTGGTTATAGTTGTAGTAGTAGTGACAGTAGTAGCAGAAGTAGTGTGATGATAGCAATAGGAGTGGTGGTTATAGTTGTAGTAGTAGTGACAGTAGTAGTAGAAGTAGTGTCATGATAGTAATAGGAGTGGTGGTTATAGTTGTAGTAGTAGTGACAGCAGTAGCAGAAGTAGTGTGATGATAGTAATAGGAGTGGTGGTTATAGTTGTAGTAGTAGGATGAGGATGAGGAGGAGGAGAAATGGAGGAGTAGTAGTAGATGTAGTGAGTCTTTTTCACTCTAAACTTATGAAACACTGCCTGTAATTAATTACATGTATTAGTTACAGATCGAAGTTAAGCCACAATTGTGAAAATACAAAGAGGAATTGTGATCAAAATAGGACAATGGATAGAGTAACCGCTGTAATATCTCACTGGAACGTTACTTATTGCAGATGTCAGCGGCAGCTACATATACCTTACGATGTAACCTCCCTTGGATTACACGCAATGTAATTTGTTATCAAGTACAAAACGTATTTTAGAAATATGTATACTCAACAACAAACGTTACTGTGACTATATCAGTTCATTGTAGATATAAGTTTAAAACAGAACATGTATAAAAACTTACAATATTATAAGTACGATCCTTTGTCTCACTGTGTACACAACTAATAACTTGTCAAATGAGTGAGTGAGTTGGTTTTAACGACGCTTTGAACAGTATTCCAGTTATATCACTGCGTGTCAGTTTACTGAGTTAGGAAAGCCCAGAGTGATGCAGGTCTCAGACGTTCACGAGCACGGGTTGGTGCCGACAAACTGGACTTGTAAAGACAGAACAGTGTAGCATGATACCTTTTAATGAGTATTGAGATCAAAATAAACATCCCACTTCTTTACCTTTAAAACTGAGGTACATCTGTAATGCTTTATGAAAGTAAGCGGACTTTTCACTGTAAAGAAAATACAGCGTTTGATCTGAAATTGTTTTGTAAACAAATGAAAATTAGTACTTTTGGGTGTAATATGTTGGGTTTTGATTTAATACAGCTATTTTATCATTATTTATTGACAATAATTTTATTTTAATAGCCACTCTTACTCTAGAAGTCTATGACATGTCGTGATATAACTGCAATATTGTTTCAAAGCAGAGATAAACTATCGACTCACAACAGTGACAACTATTTGGGCACATTTTAAAATAACAGCTTTGTTATCACTTATTATATATTTAATTTGACAGATTGAAGAATCCGTTACATTTCTCCTGCTTGGATACGTTCAGTCATGGATATGGGTAGGTGAAATTTTGTTTTTTCATTTCTAGCATTTTATCTGTTACAAGAAATGAGGAAATATCAATAACCATTATCGCATAAGAAAAAGATTAACCGAATAACATGTACATTGTATGGTATGGTATGGTATGGTATGGTATGGTATGGTATGGTATAGATAGTATAGTATAGTATAGATAGTATAGTTTTGTATAGTATAGTATAGTATAGTATAGTATACAGTGTAGACATACAACGTGTTATTGTTATTTAGTGTAACTTAATTTTTTTTAAACTTCTCAAATGTAGTTTTATGGTTGTACGAGTACATAAATAAGGAGGAAGTAAATATTTCCATGTATATGTTTACACTTTCATTAGTTTTCTTGTTGGTTTAATTATTTGTGACTGAATAGATGTATAAATTCAGTCTTGGTTTGTTTAACGATGCAGAGGAATGGACGTGTGGAAAGTGCACATTCGTGAACAGTGGCGACCTGCAGAACTGCAATGTATGTTCCGCGTCAAAGCCACGCCGGGAACCTGGACTACCCAATCTGTTCAATCCAGAACCAATGGGTTATTATCATGGACAACAGCAAAAGGGTACTTCTCTTTGTTTCTTCTCTACTGATATTTTGAAATCACTGTAAATTCTGTGATTAATTGAGTTGAATGTTGCCGCTGCTTTAAACAGTATTTAAGCCATATTAGATCGGAGACAACAATCAATGGGTTTCACATGTCGGGAATCAAACCCGAGCCTTAGGCGTGATGAGCCAACGTTGTACCCACATGACTTCAAAATGCTAGCGATGACTGGTGTGTTTAGTAGCTGGTATTACTATTATTTTGGAGGGTGCTATACAATATCAAATACCAAATTATGTCACCAATGTTATAGTATCACCCCTATAATCATCATTGCTACCATCAGGTCAGAAGATGCATTCATTTCACAAATCGGTGGCGCCTATTTTCAACCTTATAATAGCACACTGATTTTGAAATACATTTACGTATAGGTATTTACTCGACAGAGTTACAACTGTATGCATAGACTTACGGCAGTGATGTATCTGTATTATGTGAGAATATGTAACACTTGTGGGTCATGGTTGTGAGTGCACATACATGTATGTATGGCATTTCAAACTACATTTACTACGAATTTGTAATTTTCTTTTGTATTACAGGGGGGTCATATGGGTGGTCCACAGACCTCTGCCCGACCAATGAGAGGAGAATAGTTTTCCTTGGCAGAACAGGGTCAGGGAAGAGCGCCACCGGCAATAACATTTTGGGGAAAATAGTATTCGAATCAAGTGCCTGTGGGTCATCTGTAACCAAAAGGTGCCAGAGAGGGAGAGGGAGCAGATTTAACAGGGACATTCAAATAATCGACAGTCCTGGGTTGTTTGACACAGGTATGACAAATGCTGAAATCACGAAGGAAGTAGTGAAATGTGTCGCCATGACAGCTCCTGGTCCCCATGCCTTTGTCCTCGTTGTCAGGATTGACCGTTTTACGCAGGAAGAACATGATACGGTTCAACATTTCAGGCAGGTCTTCGGATGTGACATGTTGAACTACCTCATTGTTCTGTTCACAAGAAAAGATGATCTACATCATGAAAAAAAATCCCTACAAGAGTATTTGAAGAAAGTGCCTCAGGAACTGCAAGTTCTACTCAAGTCTTGCAACAACAGATGTATTGCCTTCAATAACAGAGGCAGTGATGAGGAGAAGAACAAAGATGTCCAGGACTTCCTCACACTGGTGGACAGGGTGTTCCTTGACAACGGAGGCAAGTGCTACACCAGTGAAATGTATGTTGAGGCTGAGAAGAACATGAAAATGAGAGAAGGACAGTTGAGACAGAAACATGAACAGAAGATCCAGGAAGAGAGAAATGCAATCAGGCGAGATTTCGAGCTGAAACTTCAGATGAAGCACGATGAAAACGCGGATATGAGGAAACAATTGGAGGAGAGAATAAAAACACTGGAAAAAGAGAAAACCGAAGAAGCAGATAAGAAAGCTGAGAGGGAGATGGCTGCACTTTCAAAGGAAATGGAAGAACTGAAACTAGCAGTGAAAGGAGCGAAGGAAGAAAAGGAGGAATCAGAGAGACAGCTGGAGTTGGAGAGCAGGAGGAGGGAACGAGATGCCATTAAGAGAATTGAAGCCGAAAGACCAGACTTCCGAGACGAGACGCGAGAAGAAGTCAATGAAGAGAAACCCGGTATAATGAGCATGCTTGGATCAGTGCTGCCTGCGCTCATTGGGAGTGTCCTTCCGTCTATCATACCGGCTGCTGGGAAGCTTTTAAAAGGGCTGTTTAAAAGATAGAACACCACTCGAAGGCCAACTTGTTTGGAATGGGCATTTGTGTTTGTGTTGATGAGACCATCACCCGGCCTTTTGTAAACATTGATACAAATGCAATTCAAGTAGCTCTATGCAGTGCAATTGCTTTTAAGGCAATAACACCAATGAAAATAGCTAACAATTTGTCTATATCGCTGTGTGTGATTACATGATACACATGGGGTTTCGAGAAAGACGTTGTATCTTAGTTAACACTTGTGTTTCGATGCAGATTACACATTCAGGACAGTACTTTAGACAGTACTTTAGAATCATGTACAGGAATGACATATTTATGGTTACAAATAGAATATTTAATCAATTCATAAAATGTTACTTCATGTGATGAATATACTTCTTATATATGGATTTGCCTGCGCATTGTTTGTGTGTTGTTTAACGCCACATCCAGTGATATTCCATCAACAATCAGTGATATTCCATCAACAATCAGTGATATTCCATCAACAATCAGTGATATTCCATCAACAATCAGTGATATTCCATCAACAATCAGTGATATTCCATCAACAATCAGTGATATTCCATCAACAATCAGTGATATTCCATCAACAATCACCCCGTGAATATCCCGGGTAGAATAGGTCTTCAGCAACCCATGATGCTTGCCGTAAGAGGCGACTGACGGTATCGGGTAGTCAGACTCGCTGACTTGGTTGATGCATGTCATTGATTCCAATTACGTCGATCGATGCGTATGATATTAATCACATCATACCGGCTGCTGGGAAGTTAATTATAGGATTGTTTAAAAAATAAAACACCTCTTGTCGGACAAACTTGTTTGATAGAGAATAAAATAAATGGCATTCGGTTGTTATCGAATCATCAGCTATTATCCGCCCTTTTGTACAAATGAACTGCAAGGATCTATATTCGTTGCAATAAGTTTTTATGCTACAATAACAACTTTTTTTATACAGCAAAACATTTCCACATATCGCTGTGCTTAATTACATGGTACAACACATTTTTAGTACTTATTAAACAAATTGTGTTCCCACGTAGATAACACTTTCAGTGTTCACTGGATTACACGGTGACGTTGTGACGCCATTGCAAGGACGTGACTTGAGATATATTTCATGGTCACAAATAAAACGTTATGCTAATAGTAAAATATGGCTTCACGTGATGAATAAACTTCTTATATCTCAATGAGTCGTTTGTTTGTTTATTGTTTTATGTCACATCAAGCAATATTCCATCAACAGTCAGCAAATATCACAGCTGCCTGTGAGTAAACTAATCTGGGCCAGACAAACCAGTGTTTAATATTATGCACATCACTGTATTTTTCTAAAAGATTTGTTTGCGTCAGAGAGAAAAATATTTTGTTTTTTTGTTGGCATGTTGGATGTCCTGATAATAATGTAATGTGAGAAATTCAAATGTTCAGTTCTTCCTGTAAGAGAAAAAGTATTCCCAGAATAATAGATGATCGGTCCCTAGGGATAATTAATCAATTGACTAAGAACATAATTTCACCTGGAATTCGCAGAGAGCTTAAAAAGTGCGTCTTCTCAAGTGGGATACTATTTAGTTGATGTGTACGGTGTCATAATATGACAGCGTATACGGCAACTAAAGACACCATAACGAATTTTCTATGCCGAAAAGTTCACACTGTCTAGTATCCATATCGCACATGTCATGTCTTAATGAAAACTTGACACTTACAACTGTTGACGTTAAGGGTCCAAGGGAGACTACTCATCAAACCTTAGAGGCGAAACATTGTTGATAATTTTAACTATAATCTTTAATTATAAAGTCACGAACGTGATCTAAAACAATATTAATGTACTTGTAAAATTAATTTTATTGAAACACAAAACAGTGTCGAATAAAGAATTTCCGTATCAGAATTGTCATGTGAAATAAGTGAGGTGGGTGTTGGAAAATCCAAGATCGCTGTTACTGACAGAAAAGGTCTTATATTAGGTCAGTAACTACCATCTTGGATTTTACTGACGAGTATACGGGCTCATATGGAGTAGCTGAAATACTGCCGATGTGACGTTAAATATTAACTCACTCACTCATATGGAGTAAGTAGTTCTGCTCTCTGATTGGTCAATCTCACTTTGAGGCATAATAAAACGCAAATATGCGTATATTACCAATCATACTATGTCTGACTCCACTGTCAGTATGTATCAACTATTATAGCTAAAATGGATAGAATTATCATAAAACCGCCCGCACGTTATCAGAAATGAGCGGGCCACTGTAACTTGATAATGCCCTCATATTGCTTGACGACGGGCCATTATCAAGCCCGTTGTGAGGTGACGTCATAAGGTAGAGAAAGTGACGTCACGTATTATAGTGACGTCATCTGGTTTGTTCTATGACGTTTCCATGTTTGTAAAATGGGGTCAGTGACATTCGTGTTGATTGCAGTAAATGTTTCAAAACCGATGTTGTTTCTCTTATTTGATAACAAATTCCATCCATTTTAGCTATAATAACGATAACGCTATTTTTCAGGGCATTATCATATGCAGAAGCCCTCGGTCTTTTCAACTGCCCTCCTTCGTCGGGCAGTTAATGGAAGACCTCGGGCTTCTGCAAATGATAATGCCCTGAAAAATAGCGTTATCCTTATAATAATGTCCACTTTATTAAATGGAAAGAGTCACATGTGCCTGTGTTTGTGACAGGTGGAGCAGGATACGCTTACATTTTCGCGAACACCTGGTATCGTCACTATTTGAGATTTAACTATGTCATGTCATGCATCATTTTATAGCTAAAATGGATAGAATTATCATTAAACCGCCCGCATGTTATCAGAAATGAGCGGGCCACTGTAACTTGATAATGCCCTCATATTACTTGACGACGGGCCATTATCACGCCCGTTGTTAGGTGACGTCAAAGGATAGGATCGGTGACGTCACGTTCAATAGTGACGTCAACTGATTTGTTCTATGACGTTTCCATATAGTAAAAGTGGGTAAGTGACATTCGTGTTGATTGCAGTAAATGTTTCAAACACGATATTGTTGTTTCTTTTTATTTGATAAAAAATTCCATCCATTTTAGCTATAATAACGGTAACGCTATTTTTCTGGGCATTATCATTTGCAGAAGCTATCGGTCTTTTCAACTGCCCTCCTTCGTCGGGCAGTTAATGGAAGACCTCGGGCTTCTGCAAATGATAATGCCCTGAAAAATAGCGTTACCCTTATACCAGTGACCAATTTATAATAATATGCATTAAACTGAAAAGCCTGTTATCTCATGCATTGTTAATTGTAGCAGCATCACTCGGGGTACCACGAGCGAGAGTGGAATGAACCTGTAAGCGGGACGCATGAAACCACATGTACACCAAGTGATATTTCTACAACGAATTTATCTTACGGACATGTTTTAATATGACGTTGTAAAATAATTAAAACAAATTCAAAGTTTGTCAAAAATAGTTGTTCGATTGAGCTGAGGTTAACATGTGCTATGTAACGTCACCTTTATTGACTCTGAAAAAGCGTGTGGCTTTTTGCTTCCAAACGGGGTAGAAGGGATTTATTCTCCCGCTCAGAAATTTATTTCCCTCCTTGGCGGGATACATATTATCACGTGAACCGTTCAGATCTCATCATTCTGACATGGAGGTGTGGTAATATATATTGAGACCGGTAGACAAGGTAACAACAGTATTCCTCGAGAGGAAATTAAAGGCAGTGTATAAATTGTAAGGATAATGATTCACAGGAAATGGTTTCATTTTGTAAGCAAATGTCCATTATATTACCACCTCAGATCACGTCAAATTAAGGAATATATTATTAATCACTCCTTGTATAAACTCGGTCAATTGCAGCAGAAAATATTAAAGTCCAGAGAAAGGGAAATGTGTACATGAAGCATTCCAGCTAAGACACAACAGCTAAACGCAATCTATGTTGTTTGTGTGTTTGTTTATTGTTTAACGCCGCACTCACCAATATTCCCAATCTATGTATGTCCATCTTCGCCGCCCTGTATATATTGTAATAGTTTGTATGACCAGAGGTCATCATGGCTTGTGTCAAATAAATTGTCTGTCTGTCGGTCGGTCTGTCGGTTTGTCTGTCTGTCTGTCTGTCTGTCTGTCGGTCTCTCGGTCTGTCGGTCTCTGTCTGTCTGTCGGTCTGTCTGTGTCTGTCCGTCTGAATGTGTCTGTCTGTCTGTCTGTCTGTGTCTGTCTCTGTCTGTCTGTCTGTGTCTGTATGTCTGTCTGTGTCTGCCTGTCTCTGTCTGTCTGTCTGTCTGTCTGTCTATCTGTCTGTCTGTCTGTGTCTGTCTGTCTGTCTGTCTGTGTATGTCTGTCTCTGTCTGTCTGTCTCTGTCTGTCTGTCTGTCTGTGTCTGTCTGTCTGTCTGTCTGTCTGTCTGTCTGTGTCTGTCTGTCTGTCTGTGTCTGTCTGTCTGTCTGTCTGTGTCCGTCTCTGTCCTACTGTCTGTCTGTCTGTCTGTCTGTCTGTTTGTGTGTCTGTCTGTGTGTGTCTGTCTGTCTGTCTGTCTGTACATGTGAACATCGTGACATGAATACTATTTAACCTCGTTCTTTACTGCTATGACATCAGTTTATCTAGTCGTACATGTACCGTGTTATCCGATCTGGGTAAACCAACAACTGCGCTTATCGAACATAAGGAGCTCCAACTCGTCATAAACAAACGTTCCATTTCTCGAGAATGTGGTCGGTTCCTGAGGAGTATGTGTGTATATATAAAACAAACGTTCCATTTCTCGAGAATGTGGTCGGTTCCTGAGGAGTATGTGTGTATATATAGCTATTACCATGTCAAGACGTTATACCCACGAAAACAATTATGTCCATGTGCCTCGTGTAAGTACTGTGTACGTCTATACACTGGCTTCTTAAACATTGCACGGGCCCTGAGTAAAACGTTCATGGTTGTTATTAAGTCGCTTTAAACGGTATTTCGGGAAAAGCTAGGGCGGTCGGATAGCCTAGTGGTTAAAGCGTTCGCTCGTCACATCGAAGACCCGGGTTCGAATCCCGACACGGGTACAATGTGTGAAGCCCATTTGTGGTGTCCCCCGCCGTGATATTGCTGGAATATTGCTAAAAGCGGCGTAAAACCATACTCACTCACTCGGGGAAAGCTGGTATAGGTAAGTGACGTCAATTCCATTCCATTTGTACCCTTTCTGTTCTTAAAACCTTTCATAATTGTAATAATAAATTCATGTTAACATTGTGTCTTATCAATGTCCTAAATGGTGCTAATGGCGCAATTGACTAGTGTACACTCAAATTACCTTTTTACCCCCTTGGAGATTATGCGAGGAAGAGCCTTCCTTTAGCTTTTTCCTGTCAGGTGCGTTTTGCACAGGACAACGTGCTACCATGGGACAGACGTGAGTAAATAAGTCAAATCCGTAGGCAGTTGTAACCCAGATATATTGGCTTGTAAATAATCGAATGTTTGAAAGCACGAACACCGATCAACACAATCCCGTGTTGACACAGTCAACGATGTCACAGACCACACCACCTCCCATTGGTCGGCTCTTACGACTTGCTTTGGATACCAAACACCTAGTCTTCCCAAGTCGTCCCACGTACCCCAGCTGTTCATATTGTAACAACGCCTATCAAACCCGTCATTTACAAGCATAAACAGTCATCTGACAATTAACCGATTCGCGGCGTGCTTGTAACCAGATCAATCAACATTGGTCGAATGAAATTCACAACTGGATGCAATACTCTACAGTTCTCCTGTTCTCCTGTTTATCAGTATCTGAACCACACACACACCATTCTCATCCAGCATGTGGGCAACTATCCTGCAAACGCCAGTTATATAGGCAGGATGATAGCATTCTTGTGCTATAAATAGGACAACGTCAGCCAGTCTCCTTCTTGGTGCGTCATCCAAATCAAGGTCATTTTCAACAACATAACCAAGTTAGTTTCACTTGTCAGGAGACTGGAAAACCCATTCCAACTAAACTATTTCTCTGGCCGTATAAATCCCACCTCGCACCAGTATAGCGTTCATTCATTGATCAACCTCTGCCTTGTCCCATGCAGGTAGGTAAACTATATATCAGAACGATATGAATACTGATTACATCTGATTTGTCATTAGTATTAGTGGTGACGCTGCTTTCTCATTGTTTAAATTCGATTCCTCATTATGTGGAAAAAGTATATTCCTCATTCTATTTGTAAATTCTGACTTTAGGGTGGCTCCTTATCTCTTAACATACACTTTTGGATTTGGTATACATGATCTAAACCAAGTTAGCTCTGATCTGCATCAATGTTCTATTTGTGCCGGGCCCGAGTTCAAAATGTCAATAATTAGTACGCTTGTAGTAATGGCATATGCGATTCACATTGATAAGTTTTTGTTATTCACAGCGAGTGTCCTTATATACTCTAACCCTACCCTGCCCTACAACCCATCATACGCTACCCTACGCTTAGCACCATCCTCTACCAAAACCCTTACCACGACTCACTACACCTACCACTAGGAATTTCAACTACCCACTACCCACTACCCACTACTCACTACCCTCTACTCCTACCATTATCTATATCCAACTGTGGCAACCCGTACCTATTTCTCCTTCCTTTACCCATTTCCACTATCCTCTATGCACTACCCTCTACTCCTACCAATATCCACTACAACAAGTGAATCCTCTTTCCAGTACCGACAATCACTATCAAATATACTCTACCCCTATTAATACACATGGCCGATATCATCTATCCATTACACTCTACTCGTATCAATATCCACCACCACTATCACCTACCCACTACCCAGATATTCTACAAATATCCAACTGCTCCTACTCTTACCCTATAATGCTACAACCTCCACTACTCATATCTACTAGTAGTACAATAGACTAACATCTCGTCTCTGAAATGAACATATTTTACAAAAATAAACATTTGTTAATTAGAGTTAAAATAATTAAAATATAATAAAAAAGAGCCCAGAGACTTTCTTCATTTTCTGATACTGCAGTAATCTAGACTTGCCAAACATTATAGACTTGCATAGTCTGTATTGGATATGTTTGTTTCAGGGTCTGTACGTATGACATACTACTAGTATATCCAACACTTCCACTACCCACGCCTCACTACCCACGCGTCTTCTACTGCCCATACCGACACTACCATGCCGCGGTACCCTTCCAGCTACCACGCCCTACCCAATACCGCTTCCTCTACCCAAAACAAATATCCACTATCAACTACCAATCCTACAGCTACTTCCATTACCCCGACACCCGCCGCCACCGACACCCACCTGTCTCTATCCATACCGTACAACATGGACACAAAGCATGCCACTGTGACCTCTGTTAAGTGCTGGTCGCGACAGGCAACTACACTAAACATAGTACCGTACAGGTTATGACGTGGAATGATCAGGATTTAAAAATATCAAATTAATGACGAAAGAGAAACTCTGAAACACCCGTGTTAAATTTATATAAATAGAGTTGAGATAATCGAAAACAGCGAAAGCGAAAATAAGTCGCTTGCATAACCCAAATAGCACAGATGAAGGGAAGCTCCCAGTATCGGGCGCACAGCCGTCATACATGCACTGCGGTTGTAGGCGGTGAATGTTACTCGTACAGTGTAACCCTGATATCAAAGGTTATCTTCTGTGACAAGCGCTTCGGTTCGGGTTTGCTTCGTTGCCGTATGCTTATAAATAGGGTAGGGTTAAAGTTGGTGTGATGGTGATTTTACACAAGGCATGTCATCGGCAGCTACATAATACGGAGTTACCTCCCTTTGATTACCATCAGTCCCTGCAATGTAGTTTGTTTTGTATTTAGTACAAACCTTATTTTAGAAATATTCTTCACATAATCAATAACATAGGTTTCATCATTTCTGTTTATTCTGGACATAGTTTAATAGCTGAAAATGTATATATTATACTCTCTTTATTTCGATAAATGTTGCTCAACGGCTCATGTGTACATTCGATTACATGACGTGTACAATACATACAGCATATTTATAGTTGGCAAGAAAGAAGATTTATGATATTCTTAGAATTATTTTACGTAGGGGCATCGCATGATAACGGTACATAGCTATATTTTGAATAGACGTACCGATTCTTTTGATCATTAGAAGATAAAATTTATTCTTATCAGGATGAAGGCTATAAGTCTCTTGTATATATTTTGTACGTAGATGTTTGTACGCAGAGCAAACTAATAGGAAGTGACATTCATCCTCTATATATCCATAATTGCAACATTGACATAATCGACCACTTTGCGGTATATTAACATATCTACCAATTTCAATATGCAATTAATGTGAAAAACATCGAAATTGTGCTCGGGCCACTTTGAATTTCTTGACAGATATACAATTGAGGTTCAGCTCTGTTCCAAACGTAACTTTAAACAATCAATATGATGATATTTTAGTACCGTTTTGGAGCATGCTGTGCCAATTCTGTTCATAGGTATATGTTAGGCGTGACATGAATTCAGATAAGAAAGATTTTGGAAGGTGAATATACTGCTGTTCCCATATATATCCGAAACCAAAGCTGAACGGGATATATTTATATTTCGAAACCCAGGTCTGTTTGCCTTTATTAGATGCCTGTAACATCATGCTGTCACACTGTATGGATAACGTGAGTCAGGCATAGAGATAAGCTTCAGCCAGGAACTAATACATCTTGTATAAGCATAAATAGATAATGGATATCGGCCGCACTCTCCACGCACGATGTGGTTAGGGGTAGACATCTTAACACCAAGAAAGTGCTAACACGCCAACACATGTACAGTTTCCATTTTATCATTTTGATACAACCCCCATTCCGCTGATCCAAAAAGCAATATTGGAGTTATTTACATGTCAAATATTCTAAAATATTCATTCGTCATGACCAAGAATATCTACTTTATATAAAGACTTTAAAATGCAAAAACAGAGCTCCCTTGTAGAGCTGCATTTTCGAAGTGTCTGGACCATGAGAGATTTCTAGAAAAAACATAACGCCTAGGTATTTGTACAAGTGTACACACTCAAGTTTCGTCCCTTTGTAAAACCATTTTTCAATTCATGGTAGACTTTAGTTTTATCCAAATTAACATCTAATTAATAATCAATGCAATATTTCTCAAAAATATCAATTCGTTTCTGCAAACCCCCAATAGTATCTGAAATTAGAATAATATCTTCTGCAAAGAGCAAAAGAAACAATAGCGTCAGATCTATACAGGGTGCAGCTGGATTTCTGGTGGGCAGCTTTCCTCAATTTCGATTGCTAGCTCATAAATAAAAATAGATAATAGAAACGCAACCCTGGCGGACTCCGCGTGGACATTGAAACAGTTCAGGAAATGAGTTATTACTCGAGATGTGACTGATTTATAGACTGATTAAACACATCATTTTTGGAGATACACCTCTTTCTTTTGAGAGTAGCCACAATTTAGTACGATAAACACTGTCGAACGCTTTAGAAAAATCCAGAAACTGTGCAAAGGGTTTACCTTTTTGTTCACATTCATGTAAGTATCTTTCAATAATAGTCTGTAATGTAAAAATATTGTCAACCGTTGCATGTCCATGCTTGCGATTCTACAACGTTACGGTACGCATCACACCAGTATGTTAATCCTCTGTTGAGGATAGACATGTACCGTTTATTCACAACACTGAGAACTGACATACACCTGTAGTTGGATGTACCATGTGTATATCCATGCTTGTGTAATGGAACAGTTATTCCGACTGACCACGATCCCGGGAAATAAGCATTATCTTACAATAAGGTATGGGAAAAGAATATCACTGGTATATTTTAAAAATTCAGCAATTAATAAATCATAAATAGAGACAGGCGATTTACTATATTTGAGAGTCTGATAAAATTTTGGACATTTCATCAAAATTATGAGAAAAAAACCAATGTCGGCATTTTCAGTAGCCCCATGAACCGATTCGTCAATGGCATAAATATACTGAAGGAAACAAATAAGGGAACACACGAAAATACAAGTGCTCCTTTATTGTTTTCCAGGATTTGTTCCCAAGCTATGGATGTCACTGTGGGTAAAAATCTGGGAATAAATAGTGAGTGAGTGAGTGAGTTGGGTTTAACGCCGCTTTTAACAGTATTCCAGTTATATCGCGGCGTGTCATCTTAATGTGGGAGGAAAGCTCGAAGTGATGCAGGTCTCAGACGTTTACCACTTCTGTGAAACCCACGAGCACGGGTATGGTGATGACAAACCTAAAAACATAATCGGGGCGAACCGGGATTCGAACCCACGATCATAGGTTTCTGGCGTGCCCAAGGGACGCAACTCTGCACAGCGAATCGCGGTGCCTTATACGACTGGGCCACCCGTTCTCCCTGGGAATAAATAAAAGGACACTCCAATGAAATGGTGTTCCTTTATTTGTTTCCCTCAGTATATGTATAAAATGAGTCACCCATTGACTCAATGATATGTTTGGTTTCTGTCTAGTTACACAATTAGAGACTACACCAGAAGCTCTTACTGTTTGGGAGGCACGATGAAATCTATTAACAAATATGTATAAAATGTATAAATGATGTTTATGTTTGTCTTCTAACTGTATACACAGACCAGTGTACATGTAGCTTTATACCATTTTATCTGTATTGAGATCAAGATGTAAATGACGAATGTAACCCGACTATTCACGATAGCTCCTTTTAAGGAAATATAATATGCTGGGACGAATTTTATCATATTTTGTGTAACCAAAACAATTAGTAGTTTTTGGTTTTTGGTTTTGATTTAACCTTGGTGTATTTCCTCAATGGACAATGGTTTGATGTATAACAGCCATTGGTGTTTTGTGACAATTTGTCTCCGATACGTCATGATATAACTGTTCAAAGCAGTATTAAACCCACTGACACACCAACTATGTGTTGACGCTCTGATGACAAAAATGCCGACAACTCTGGATCGATAAACGTAAAAACAACTTAGTTGAAAAATAAATAGTTGTGGTTTAAATATAACAGCTTTGTATTCACCTATTGTGTTTTAATTTGACAGATTGAAGAATTCATAATTGTTTACTTGCTGGGATACACAAAGTCATGGGTAGGTGAATTTATGGGTTTTTTAATTTTTAGCCTGTTTATTGTAACAGTTTAAAGAACTGACTATATATGAATAAACACTATAATTACATCAGAATTACAATTGAACAGCCTGCACATTGTGTAAAATCTGAAGGTAAACGCATCTGTTATAGCTATTGGGTCATTATAGTTTAAGCATTAATAGTTATAGTTGCGCAAGTAAATTCATAAGCATGTAGACTTAGTACATATTTCCATGTATGTGTTTACACTTTCATTAGTTTCTGATATTTTTGGTGTGTGACTAAAATAAGGACTATGAATAAAGTATTGGTTTGTTTAAAGATGAATTACAAAATGATATATCCTATTTGGGTTCACATTTACTTTGTCAGATTGTGTATTGATTTATTTGCTATTATACTGAAAAACTGTTCTTTGTCTGAAGATGACGAATGGACGTGCGTAACATGCACATTCATCAACAGTGGCGACCTGCAGAACTGCAAGGCATGTTACACGGCAAAGCCACGACGGGAACCTGGACTGCCTAATGTTTTCAATCAAGAACCAATGGGTTATTATCAAGCACAACCCGAAAAAGGTACTGATGTTTTTTAACCACCCTTAATTCTATTATTAGTTGAGTAGAATTTTCACTTATTTACTAAGTAATATGCAAGACACCTCGAATGGGCTTCACACATTGTGGGGAATTGAACATGGGTCTTCGATGTGTTGAGCCAACGCTTTACACACAGGACTGCCTCAACGTCCAAAAAGATAGAGTGTTTTCAGGATGGTATCACAATTATTTCTTCGAGAGTGATATATAATTGCAAATTGGCATATCAGATCATCACCAGTGTTTTATTACCATCACGTCATGACCAATGTGCATGGTGTATGCTACCATTATGGCAGAATATGCTTTCATTTCACAACTCGGTTGCGCAAGAAATCAACGTTTTACTATTAAATTGATTTTAAGATAGAATTGTGTTTAGCAATTATCATGACAGAGATACAACTCTGTAACGCATATATGAATACGCTTAAGGTGGGAATATGTACCACTTATGGGTCACGGCTGTGAATGCATAACGGTTTGGCAATTCAAATTACATTTACTACGAATTTGTAATATGAATGAGTTATTTTTAATTTCTTTTGTATTACAGGGGGGTCATATGGGTGGTCAACAGACCTCTGCCCGACCAATGAGAGGAGAATAGTTTTCCTTGGCAGAACAGGGTCAGGGAAGAGCGCCACCGGCAATAACATTTTGGGGGACATAGTATTCGAATCAAGTGCCTGTGGGTCATCTGTAACCAAAAGGTGCCAGAGAGGGAGAGGGAGCAGATTTAACCGGGACATTCAAATAATCGACAGTCCTGGGTTGTTTGACACAGGTATGACAAATGCTGACATCACAAAGGAAGTAGTGAAATGTATCGGCATGACAGCTCCTGGTCCCCATGCCTTTGTCCTCGTTGTCAGGATTGACCGTTTTACGAAGGAAGAGCATGATACCGTTGAACATTTCAGGCAGGTCTTCGGGTGTGACATGTTGAACTACCTCATTGTTCTGTTCACAAGAAAGGATGATCTACATCATGAAAAGAAATCTCTACAAGAGTACTTGAAGAAAGTACCTCAGGAACTGCAAGTTCTACTCAAGTCCTGCAACGACAGATGTATTGCCTTCAATAACAGAGGCAGTGATGAGGAGAAGAACAAGGATGTCCAGGACTTCCTCAAACTAGTGGACACGATGTTCCTTGACAACGGGGGCAAGTGCTACACCAGTGAAATGTATGTTGAGGCTGAGAAGAACATGAAGATTAGGGAAGAACAGTTGAGACAGAAACATGAACAGAAGATCCAGGAAGAGAGAAATGCAATCAGGCGAGATTTCGAGCTGAAACTTCAGATGAAGCACGATGAAAACGCGGATATGAGGAAACAATTGGAGGAGAGAATAAAAACACTGGAAAAAGAGAAAACCGAAGAAGCAGAAAAGAAAACTGAAAATGAGATGGCTGCACTTTCAAAGGAAATGGAAGAACTGAAACTAGCAATGAAAGGGGTAAAGGAAGAAAAGGAGGAATCAGATAGACGGCTGGAGTTGGCGAGCAGGAGGAGTGAACGAGAAGCCATTAAGAGACTTGAGGCCGAAAGACCAGACTTCCGAGAGGAGACGCGAAAAGAAGTCAATGAAGAGAAACCCGGTATAATGAGCATGCTTGGATCAGTGCTGCCTGCGCTCATTGGGAGTGTCCTTCCGTCTATCATACCGGCTGCTGGGAAGCTTTTAAAAGGGCTGTTTAAAAGATAAAACACCACTCGAAGGCCAACTTGTTTGGAATGGGCATTTGTGTTTGTGTTGATGAGACCATCACCCGGCCTTTTGTAAACATTGATACAAATGCAATTCAAGTAGCTCTATGCAGTGCAATTGCTTTTAAGGCAATAACACCAATGAAAATAGCTAACAATTTGTCTATATCGCTGTGTGTGATTACATGATACACATGGGGTTTCGAGAAAGACGTTGTATCTTAGTTAACACTTGTGTTTCGATGCAGATTACACATTCAGGACAGTACTTTAGACAGTACTTTAGAATCATGTACAGGGAGTGACATATTTATGGTTACAAATAGAATATTTAATCAATTCATAAAATGTTACTTCATGTGATGAATATACGTCTTATATATGGATTTGCCTGCGCATTGTTTGTGTGTTGTTTAACGCCACATCCAGTGATATTCCATCAACAATCAGTGATATTCCATCAACAATCAGTGATATTCCATCAACAATCACCCCGTGAATATCCCGGGTAGCATAGGTCTTCAGCAACCCATGATGCTTGCCGTAAGAGGCGACTGACGGTATCGGGTTGTCAGACTCGCTGACGTGGTTGATGCATGTCATTGATCCCAATTACGTGGATCGATGCGTATGATATTAATCACTGGATTGTCTGGTCCATACTCGATTATTTACAGACCGCCGCCATATAGCTGGAATATTGCTGAGTGCGGCATCAAACAACAAACTTACCAACCAACCATCAACAGTCAGGAATATTGCAGCGGCCAGCAAAAAATTACCGACAAACTAGTGGTTGATATTTTTGCGCAAAATCCCTTTTTGAAAAGAATGATTTGCTGCAGAACGTTTCGGGGAAAAATATCAGAGTGACAGAGAGAAAGAAATCAATTTTTGCTGCGATGCTAGGTGTACTGAAAAACATGTGACGTGAGAAATAGAATGTCCGCCAGATTGTTATATTATCGGTGCCTTAGAAATTCTTTGTAATTACAAATTGAATTAATTAATTGAAAATGCATTAGATCATCATTTTTATATCAATATAGAAACATATTCGTAATATGTAGTGGTAAGTAATTTTTTTGTAACGACCCTACTACATACCAAACGGAAGCATGTTCTAAGCTCATACAACGCATGTCTGTGAAGTCTGTGTAAACTTCTTAACCCCTTAGCAGTGTGATTTTCTCTATTCGATCCAGAGTTAGTAAATTCTATTAGACGGGCTGTCTGATTTAACAAGAGGAACTTTACTAAAAACACAATTCAAAAGTTTCGAAAGTGCGAGGAACGTTCAAATAGTTCTGCAATCCATGTACAAATTTGAGGAATCCAATATATGATGGCAATCTTTTTCAATGGATTTGGTCTATTTGGCTTTCAGTCTTGTCGCGCAGGGCCATTTGAAACAAATTAGGTAGATACGGAAGAACCCACTCCTGAATTCTTAAGGGGTTACCTTAGGATCGAGTGAGTGAGTATGGTTTTACGCCGCTTTTAGCAATATTCCAGCAATATCACGGCGGGCGACACCAGAAATGGGCTTCACACATTGTACCCTTGTCGGGAATCGAACCCGGGTCTTCGGCGTGACGAGCGAACGCTTTAACCACGAGCCTACCCGACCGCCCCACCTAAGGGTCGAAAAAGAGAATATGACTGTAGATCATAGTGATACAAAAAGATTTCACAGCAATATTTGTCATGTTGTACTTGTTTCTATTAATAAAACGTTGTTTCATACTTCCCAGTCTTATGAATTAAACTGTTTTCCTTTTAACCATGACTTTGCAACATTGCACGTTAACCAATAGGTTTTATCTCCTTAAAAATACTAAACCCTGCTTACAAAATGAACATACATTTCACAATCAATTATGTTTTATCAAATTTATGCATCACAACGTATTGGGCGAAGTTTGTTTTATATTTTACCTTTTTGTGACAAGTAAATATATAAAGACAACAAACGAGTTCGGCACTGTTTAATAGTAGAATACAATGGAACCTTCGAACGAACTTTCGCATCAGATATATGTCCTAACGTTTTGTAGATTTCCGTTTGATATGTACTAAATTAAATGGTGAACCTCTGAGTTTTACGAGCGGCAGTAACGTATGTTTCAGATTGGAACGTCTTTGAAATTTTCCACAGACAGCGAAATGAAGGTTTTCCTTCTCTCATCTGTTCAGTTCAAGTCTTGGGTATGCTTGGGCCTACCAAGATGTTGGATGTACGACCCGTGAAGATCCGGAATAGAATAGGTCTTCAGCAACCAATGCTTGCTATAAAAGGCGACTAACGGGATCGGGTGGTCAGGCTCGATGACTTGGTTGATGCAGGTCATCGATCTCAATTACGTGGATCGATGCTCATGATATCAATTACTTGATTGTCTGGACCAGACTCGATTATTAACAGACTGCCATCATATAGCTGGAATATTGCAGTGTGCGGCGTAAAACAACACAAACCAAACCAAACCAAAACATGTGTATAGTAAGTTTTCCTTACCTTTTTCAGTCCCGTTTGAAAGACATGTACAGCCAGAATAGACCAATATATTATCATCTAGTACTAGATATGAATATTATACACTTTACAACATAAGCCTTGAAGTAGAGTAATATTTAATAGATTCGACCTTGTGTACATTTGCTACCGATTTTGCTCGTGCTCGAGTTAGATGTATAGGCTTATTGATGCCGGAATCACCACATACTTCCAACAGCTGAACGATTATGAACATATTGTAATCTAAGCAATATCGAAGATCTGTATCATTTTACCTTTATATGTCCATCCTTAAAAAAAATATTCGAAAGCAATACATACAAAATGAATATGTAATTCGGCCGTCAGTCCAACAATTTATTCGCCTTATCGCAAACTCAAATTATCTCGATTTAAAATATGTTATGTTATATTTCAAATATGCCCTCAAGACCAGAAATGTACAGAAATAAAACATGTGATTCTACTTGTATACGTATAATGTACTGTATTGTATCCACCTCATTTATTTGGGTCTATGGCCTATCATACAATAAACAGATGACCATAACCAAATGATTTGGAATACTTGGAAATGTTTACATTTACATCAATACCGTAACCATTCCAAACGTCAGGAAATGGTCTTTTTCGTGTCGGGTCTATCTTATTAATATCACGTCAAATGTTTTCGTAGTCTCCCTTCTGCACAACCTACCTATGTACGTCCCGTGATATTAAAAAAATCTGGAAACTGCAATAACTACTTGCCAGTGTACATAAATCATGAAGCCAAATTGTGATGAGTCCATTCATATAGAGTATTGCCTCGTTTAATGAAGGCAGGTAAACGTTATATCAGGACAATGTGGTTACTTATCATTGAGTACCTGTTTACAAGATCGAAGGTTCAATAGATCTCATGATCCGATGTGCTGTCTGTCCGTCCGCCATTTGTATGTCAGGCAACTTTCGTGCTTGTAAATTTGAGTTTTAGTAGACATTTTGTAGACATGTGCATTGAGCATTCAATTCGGTGACGACATGTTTATATGTTTATAAGATAGATTAGTGTTTGTTCGCTACAAAACATTTTGATTGGAATTCCGAGCACCTATCTCTTTAACACTGCCATTCCAGTCCGTTTTCAAAAAGGATTCGGTTGTGAGAAGGTAGGTATGAGATAAAAGTCGGTAAGATCCGTTGTGAAACGAATACATATGGTTGGGGGATAGCCTAGTGGTTAAAGCGTTTGCGACGACATGGTGGGGTGCAATTACAATGTCGTAATGTAGGTACAATGTGCGAGGCCATGTCTAGTGTCCATGGCTGCTTTACGAGGTTAAAAGTAATAGTTACTCATTCACGCACTGACTCATCACAAACCCAAAGTGGTTCCAATCGCAGCTGTGGCCATACACTGTGACCTTGACACCACTGACGTCCGATGATACAGGTCCGTCAACATGGAACCTCGAACTGGTCCTCTTGCACGAATACCTTAAGCGCGTAAAAGATTCCTCACCGTCACCGCTGATATCCTACGCAATCCTGGTATTGCCGGAGTTGCAGAGATGGCTGTGGTGGTCCTTTCACGTAAGTGACGTAGCGGTATGAATCTGTCCTGTCCTCCACTAGTCATGCGTGGTCGACCGGATCTGGAAAAGTTCAAGTGTTGTCCCGTGTGCCTGGTAACGCTTCCCGAGTCTTCTACTGGTGCTTGGTACTACGTGGAAAAAAACTGGCTACGGCCGATGGCGTTGTTGCGTTGGGCTTCCGTCAGTCATGGCATGATTTCGCTTTTCATTTGCTGTACGATTGTGATGGCTTGAAAACCTTTTTATAGCCCAACAAGTGATGTTGCACGTGCATATCACGTTGGTGTGTTTCGGCGCCAGGCTCTCACATAGTTTTTTCCATCTTTCCATCTTTTCACCACATTTCTGCAGTACCTCATTCTTTCCACACTGATCAAACCCAATCCATGCAGAAATGATCATATTTACGATTTTACTGCTTTGCTTTTGTTTTTAGCATATGTATGTGTGAGTATAGCATATGTATGTTCCTGCCGCTTAAACAAGATTTCACACTAGACATGTCACACCGAAATTTGAATCAATCATCGATCAATTATTTATCTCAGTGGTAACTCATCAAATAATCCGTATTTAACTCTTACGAGAAGCAGTAAGTTATAGGGCTTTTGGGCAGTGAATAATACCATCGTATAGTGAGTGATAGTGGATCCAGAATATGGTTTTACGTCGCTTTAAGCGATATTCCAGCAACACACCAGAAATGGGCTTCACACATTGTACCCAAGTGGGGAATCGAACCCGAGTCTTCGGCGTGACGAGCGAACGCTTTAACCACTAGGCTATCCGACCACCCCAGGTTAGTTGTGAACCTAGCAAGAATTCTATGGAGGCTGGCTACTCCACATGTAAAGTGAGTCATGAAATTGTGTCTTAGGCGTTTGCCCTATGGTGGACCCTCGAACATGTTATGGTTAGTACTCCAACCAACCCAAAATTGTTGATTCTGGCACCGCTCATGACCCAAGAACTGAATTAGAACCAAGGTGTATTCATATTTGCATATGAAAAAAGAAGCGTCAAGACCTTGGAAGCAAAACAGAACGAAAACATTCCAATAGTGAGTGAGGTGTGTGTGTGTGGGGGGGGGGGGGGGGGGGGGGGGAGAGAGTTTAGGGTCGTAGTTCAGTCATATCTCGGCTTTGCAGCTTACTGTGCAAACTTAGGAAATCCCAACGTGATGCAGGTCATGGACGTTTTCAAATATCCTGAAACCCACGAGAACGAGTTGGGTGCAGACAAACCAAGAATCATACTTAGGGAGATACTGGGAATCGCAAATCAGCGAACCCCGACACCTTAGCCCACTCTACCCCTCGGACGAAACAGGTGTTATGCTTGCTCACTTATCCGATTGATACAATGATTACAATCTGAATTTGGACTTAACTTTATTGCATCACTAAAATCAGATAATCATTATTCAGAAACCACAGCCTGATAAGCACACAGTCCATTGTACGATTCTGACTACAGCATGAATATGATATCAGGTTTTCGCGAAAAGGTGAACCTGTGTCACCCGTCACAATCTGAATGCATTAGAGTCAAATACCTGCGCGTACAAGACCGAAAGTCACGCTAAACACCGCTACGCCCTGTACACTCGACATGCTGTTTTCTCGCTCACTACTATGACGTCAGTTTATAAATATCTATTCAAACTTTTGCAAAACGTCACGCCGTTATTCAACCATAAGAAAAAATGATTCGACGTCAATACGTCCTGTTTCTCGATAACGTTGTCAAATCCTGAGGAATATGTATGCGTGCATTGTATGTAGTTAGAACATAATGCCCCAGTGACTCACGTAGTTTGTCGATAACCAGTCTGTTTGCGGGGGCCGGAGGAAAAGGTTCGTGGTTGGTATAAACGTCGCTTTAAACAGGGTAAGAAGATGCAGCAATTCACTTTAATTTTTGAACTTGTAACTTTACACGTAATTATAATAAATGCCTCTTTATAGTGCGCAGTACCAATGCCCTACATCGTGCTAATAGCGTAATGGATCAGCGTGCACCTCCCTGTGGATTCTCTGCAACGCAAACTGCCCCCTATAAGATTAGTGACATGTGTGATTTTCACAGGACGATGTGCCAGCAAGCGACAGACATCCGATCATTAGTGAGTGAATGAGTGAAACCCGCAGCCAGTCATAGAGCAGATATATGGGCTTGTAAATAATCGAATGTTTGAAAGTACACACAATTAACCAAGTCACAGAGCCTGACCACACCGATTCCCTTCAGTCGGCTTGTACGTTATGCTTTGGATACCGGAAACCCGCTCTTCCCCAGAATCTCCACGGGGTTATGCGATCGTGAATTCCCTATACAATGTGGCTGGGGCGTATATAGAGAATACTACACTCGTTCTCGTTAGATACCATTTTTACGAAACGAGTGGACTTTCTATGGTATCTGACCGAGCGACGTTAAATATATATTTAAGTGTAAATACATCACAACTTTCGTTCGTTGACCGACCAAACTGAAACCGGTTGCAAAATCTGGTTGCGCATGAATATTGATCTATGCCCAAATATGGGCATTGTTGACATGTCTATGCATACGCATAAACAACATGCCCCTGCAGTTGTGTTTCCAAACAAAACAGCACCGACGCTCAAGATCCTTTTGGAAGAAATTCTTCAACTTATGGTTATTCAAGCGCCATGTTGTTTGTACGAAGGACACCTATATGAAAATTTGAAAAGTCACACTAGCGCCGCGCTTTGAATATCGGACTAACAGTCGGTCACTCGCACTGCCGGTGTCCCGTCTGTACAATCAAAATGGTTCGGTTTCCTTGATCTATCAGCTGAATTTATATCATGTTCGTACCATTTTGGAAGAGGGAAATCAGAGTGTTCGCCAAAGACATTCATGTTAACTGTACCACCCTTATACTGAAGACGTGAAAATCAACAAACTCAAGTCTGCTTGCATGTCAGTGACAGCTTCGAACGATCGAAGGGCAAGGTCACCACCGGAATAAGAAAAGAAAACGGCATTGCCTAAAAGTCGGGCCGGGCCGGGCCAAGACGGGCCAAAGTGTTACTGGCTAATTACTTCATTATCGGCGATCATACCTACATATAATTGATGCAACATACACACATGACATTAATGAACAATCACCAAACAAAAAGGTGCACCATAAATAAGTAATTCGGAGTAAATCGCTTGAAAACCAGAAAGTTGAGCAGTGTGTAAGCGTCGCTGATCTTGGTAACATGTAAAAGAGCAATCGTTAAACGAAATAAGATTTGAAACGTATCAAATACTTCTAGCTATCGTGATACAACGTTCCATCTGTGCGCATAGTGTATATATTTATAGGAATGATCTATATATAAGTAAATACCACTTTATAATGTCACTGATCGTCGTATTTAAAGCAGACACGTTGGTTAAAGTAGACCTCTTCTCCGTATACTCTCAACAGTCACACAAGTGTTCGGTCCGACTTGGCCCGGGCTGTCAAAATCAACTTTCAACTCACAGATGTATCATCAAATGGATTCACATCTTTAGATTAGTATTATATCTACCTAAATACCACTTTATTATGTCACGGTACATCGTATTTAAAGAAAACAAGGTGCTCAAAGTGAAGCCCTTTTCCCTCTACATTCTCAACATAGTCTCTATCAGAAGTGTTTGGCTTGTGTTGGGTCCGACTTAGCCCGGGCGATCAAAATCAACTTTAAACACACAGACGTAACTTCAAATGTGTTTACATCTATAGATTAGTGTTATATCTACCTACATACCACTTTATAATGTCACGGTACATCGTATTTAAAGAAAACAAGGTGCTCAAAGTCAAGCATTTTTACTGTATTTTCTTAAGAAAATCTTTGTCAGAACTGTTAGGCCCGAAAGTCTATTTAGGATTTAAATTGTGATTAAGGAAGTAGAGGGTAGAGAGAGAACAAGATAACAAATCTTAACAAAACCTACCTTCCAAACAAGTGCTAGTTCGTTCGTATCCGTAATCCGTCACAAACTGTGATGAACGCATAGTGTGTTCGATGAAGGAAATAGAGCCCTTCAGATCTTTGTTGACTGAATACACCTTGACCTATGTTCAGTGATATAATTTATAAGATATTGAAGCTACATGGCCGCCAATAGTTTCGAGGAAATGTCCTGGCTACACTTCAAGGTTTCGTGCTCAACAAATATATATGAATGTATATGATGTCTCATCTTGATGAACTTTAATAATGCAATTCGACAAAGAAGATGTACAGATGCCTCGACAGCATTTTTGGCAGTCAACTACAAGTACAGGTAAACATGGCTTTTAATGCTCATGTGTGTCAGGTTGCCCTAACCTCGACGTCACATCTGTACACAAAGCAAGTGCATAGTCTAAACTAGGCTACATTTGCATTTCTTTAGCCGTTTACAGATGCCTCGACAACATTTTTCACACATGAATGACTTCAACCTGGGCTCTCAACTAGTACAGGTAAACATGGCTATTAATGCTCATGTGCGTCAGGTTGCCCCAACCTCGCCGTCGTATCTGTACACAAAACAAGTGCATAGTCTAAACTAGGCTACATATGCATTTCTTCAGCCGTTTCAATCATGCAGTGCGTTGTCACAGCATGCTGCATAGGTCTGTACAGCACAATGTATTTTATTAGTAATTGGTCGATCCTTCATAAATCATATTTTTGCCATTCATTTCACATATGCCTCGGTAGAATTGAGGTAGGGGAAGGACTTCTGGTCAGATAACAAGGTATTCAGATATCCAGAAACTCGTTTATCCGGACAACATTTTAGAAAAAGCAATTGTCCGGATAAGCGAGTTTCGACTGTATAGCGCGTGATACATGACAAAACAGATGTGTTAGGACCTGATTCGCACTTGCTGAAGGGATACAATGGACCCTGATCATAATACATTGGTTGCTTATTATTATTATTATTATAAAACATATTGTATTGTCCAAACAGACAAAGGGATTGGGCACAAGTGCAGCACTTATTACCACCTTCTCCCTATATACAGTTATACATAATATTGCATAATGAAAATTAACAGTTTACAGTTGAAGCATCACATTGTGGAAACATAGGGCGCAATATAAATTTATATACAGTGCTCATATGAAGGATATGTACAATGTGCTGGAAAGTGAAGAAAGTGTGCATCTCATACATATGCTAATATTATACATGTTAGTGTTGTACATAGATTTAACAATATTAATGATTAACAGTTTGGAAACAATAATATGCTAGCTACTGAATCTGTTAGTCGTTTCTATAAATTTGTGTACAGACAGGATATTTTTGTATTCAGGAAAACATCTAAGTTTGGATCACAAAAAAAGAATACTATTTAGAGTTTTTTGTCCTCCAAGATTATCGATAGCTGTCAGTAATGTCTCCCGAATATCATCATATAAGGTACATTGGAAGAAGAAATGGAATGAATTTTCACAAGGAGCTCCGCATTTACAGGAAATAGTATCAGATAATTAACACGAAACAGGTTGGAATTTAGTGTGCTACAATTGTGTCTCAATCTAGTGTGCAATATGTTTGTAGATCTCTCACCGCAGTTATAGTGCATAGGTGGTGATGTAGGCTGCTCAGATGCGACAGCTTTAAAATAAGATATTGACGGACTATCCCTGATTCCTGATGATAGATTATTCCATTGGCCTAATGTATCTATAATATAAGACCTTTTAAACGTAGATGTCCGTGCAAATGGAACTACAACATCCTGGCGGTTTCTGAGATTATAACTGACCTTCTGTAACACAGCTGGTGTTATAAGATCAGTTATATATGAAGGACATGGCTTATTTATTATTTTATACATAGTTACAAGATTGTTGACGTTTCTTCTATACGCTTAGATATATGTATCCACGTCACACACACCTAGAACAAGTACACTTATTTGAATATACTAATATTACATGAATGTTACTGAGCAGTCAGTTAGAGTTTATATCTTTGCGCTTAATCAGCAACATTAAGCCTTTCACGTATATTACAACTTTGTAAGTTAACTTTCCTTTCCAGAAATACGATAGCATGGTGACAGAGATAAACTTCTACCCCAAGAGATGTATCATTGACTAAAATCTGCTTTGTTAATTTGATTTCAAGTGATAGCCTTCACCTGGAAGGAATTTATATTTGTATTATTTCAATTTTTCTTTTCATATATATCCCTCTGAATTTTGGGGTTTGAAATAGCATGTCGCAGAAATAACTTCTGTTGGACCCTTAGACTTACAAGAATACTCTTATCATTGGCCGAAACATGCCCCATTTGTGCTTCTTGCTTTGTCAGACCAAACCCATACTGTTGAATTTCTCAAAAGCTTTAAAAGGGTTAAAGCTATTTTTGGAAGTATAAATGGGTTGATTGGTGACTACCACAGAAGTAGCAAATGGAGTTATGTCCGATGAAATTCTCTGTTTTGACTTGTGCTAATCGTTTCCGTGTTTTTCGGGTTTAACAACTAACTTGCCTATGCGTGTGTTTGTTCCACCGGTGGTGCAGGATACGCTCACCTCTATGCAAACACCTGTTATCCTCACTGTTTGATAGTAGTTTATACACGTAAGTATGTATAAGTTGTATGTCATCTTTATATATCACTTGTGTTATCCCTCTTTTTGGGGTGTACTACAAACATAAATCAAAGTTTCTTTTGAGCTATCATGAATATCATAAAATACTTAGCAAGTCTATGCTTATCATTCCCTCTACTCCTACCAAAGGCTCTAATTGTGGCTAATTGTTACATCTTCTTCACGAATACTGTAAATCATGAAACGTGTAACCAAATTAATGCGAGTTTAAACCGCTGGCTGGACTAACATCCAGTTTCTGAAATGAACATATTTTACAAAAATAAAAACAATTGTTTGATTATATTGATAAAATATATAACTGCAGTAATCTAGTCTTGCCAAATATGATTGACATGCACCGGCTGTATTGGATATATTTGTTTCAGGAACTGTATGACAGGCCTAAAATGCGTCACGAAAGTAATGCGATTAACTTTGCTTTTGACCTGTAAAAGCTAACCAGCAAACGAAAACACGGCGCCGTTGTTTACAATGAACGCATGTCTAAACAAACATCCTTTTTTATATACTTAAGTAGAAGTATCACGATGGACAGTGCATACAACTGTTTGGCAAACAATATCAAGCAATATTTTAGATTCAGAATCAACATACCATGACATAACAGAAACATATATATTAAATTGTATATATTCACATTTGCCGCTATTCACGATAAATTTATTTTACCGTCACTGTTTAAAACTACTCTGAACTACTTGTATGTATAGATCATCTTATTTGTAAACAGTAGGCGGACGTATTATATATCTAACAGTTACAAAAGTCTGCTGAAATCTTCTATTTCTTTATTATGTAAAACACTCCAAATATAGTTGTCATAATGAACATAGTTTTAAAGTATATTTGTCACATGCAATAATACTGTCCGGTATTATTAGTAATATTTTCAATATCAACCACATATTGTGCGAATCCAGTAAAAAGGAACTGAGTAAAGCAGTGGTAAAATCTATCCATATATACAAAATTGTATATTTTTGGATATACCATATATACAAAATTGTATATTTTTGGATATACCATATATACAAAATTGTATATTTTTGGATATACCAAATTGTATATTTTGTATATATTGGAATTTTCCCTTGTGATACTTTCACTGGCCACTGACAAAGATTAGCAGTATTAGAATAAGAAACTAAATTAAATCCAGTATGACGTGATGATGTGTACGCATACAGAAAACTAAGAGAGCCCAACTTACTTCAGTTTCTGTACCGTACTAGCGCTTACCTCCTTTTGCATCCTGCGTATCATTCAACCTGTCGGATCGACTTGTCCCGGGTGGTTAATAATCTTAAACATCACGACTGTAAAACAAAGTTGCTTACTTACTTACTTACTTACTTTGGAGATTTAACGTGCGCTTTCCGACTGATGCGTATTTCGCACACGGGCCCGGCCAGGCCATTTAATGTGTTTCCGAAAGGCGCGAAAGTGGTGTGTGCAACCGAAAAGGGGGCTTTAGGGGTTGCTTATATAAAAAAAAGTTGCTAGATATATAGAGATTTTATGGCGTCTTTTAACCATCACGACAATAATACTGAGTGGTCCAAGTCAGGTTCAGGAGAAGTGTGTTTTCACAGAACGAGCTGCTCGGAGATGCAGCACGTATTCTCGCGGTATGGCAGATTACAACTGTCTCAGATAATCAGGCCCTAAAACTAATCACACGAACTCAACATGGCACCCCCTCCACCTCACTCCAGGCCTTAACGGGAGAAATGCCACTTAAACTGCGTAGGGAACAACTTACCCTAAACTTCTGGTCCGCGTCCCAATCAAACCCTCTAATCCAAAACTTAATAAAAAACAATATTAGCCCTAGAAACCAAGCCCTAGCCCGGAAACATCCACTACTTACTCCAATTTCCCAAAGAATAACCAATTACCTAAATGAACACAAAATAAATAATCTTAAACAAAACAATAAATCATCCAATATCTTCACTCCAAAACTTAAAATACCAAAAAATAGACACAACACTAACCGATACACTAAATAAACAGACCGGTCCTAACATCGCTAAAACCACCACACTAGCATACATACATGAAAATTGGCCAAATTGGTGTCACATATACACAGACGGATCCTCAGATCCGATCTCAAAACACACAGGTTTTATGAGTCCACATCGCACAACCAACCAAAAACACACAATCTTACCGACTCCCAAACAACCAATCCATATTCACGGCCGAACTAATGGGCATGGCCTCAGCACTACACAATCAGCAATCTAAAAAACACCAAAAAATCCTCATCCTAACCGACTCCCTCAGTGGACTACAAGCCCTCAAAAATAAAAACACTAAAAACCGCCCCAAACTAATAAATCAAATGCTCAATAGCTCAAACAACTTAACTAAGGCAGGAAAACAAATAGAGTTCATTTGGATCCCCGCCCACGTAGGAATCTTTGGAAATGAAAAGGCAGATAAAGCAGCAAAATTATCGCCTAAACTCCCAGAAATAAGCTTAAACTTACCCAGCTCAAAATCAGAAATCAAAAGTGTCACTAAACAAAAAATCAACTGATCAGAACTATCAGAACTGTTCACTTTTGGTGATTCGGTAGTGCGGTCGTGTACGTTCATTCATGAACAACACCTCCCGAAACAGCGCCACAAAATACGCTTCAAAGGGGACACTGATGGCACAACCGGATCATCCCAAGTACGTTTAAATATCTGTCCAGATAGTTTAAACATACTTCATTTCACCACGATTATCCCTTTACGTTAAATCAAATTGAAAGTTGCGAAAGTGGTCGGGTGCGTCACGCTCATGGGGCCCTCGCTCTATTGATCGGTAGTCGTATACTACATTGTAAATTGATATAGCTTAATTATATAATGTCTTTAGAAGCTCTATCCATAACTTATATATAATGCAAACCGAATTTGATACGTGTGACTATTTTGTATGGTTGCCAAATGAATGACGTCTTGCGATTTTTTATGAATGAAAAAAGTAGTCCCGGTGTGACAGAGGTCACGGTTATCAGTTAAAAAACGAATAAAACAAGGTCAACCTTGTACGACACACGTGTGACGTACGGATTTAGTATCTCACCACCTGAATTTTCACCACGTGGGTAATAAATACTGATACGTGTGAATATATGCAGGGATCGTTATTCTCAGATTCAGGTATCAATATTCTATACATTTCACTTCATTTTGAATTTACTCATTGTGGTTCAAGACTACCAATGTAGTAATCTTAATACACTCTATGCACTGTGATTAGAAGCGTCAGTTCAGTTTTGTATTGATATACAGTTGTATACTAGTATACGTAAGTAGATGCTTCAGCTATTTATCTTGTAACAAGGCCTACCTAACCTGTAGTTTCAAAGCATATAAAGCTTTTGGACAATTACGTGAATCGTCGTGTAGTTATACACAGGTGAATCAACCTTCTTTGCTGTCGAAGGAAATTGTCTGTTTGGTGCGTTACTCTCTAGTCCCCTTATTCTTAACAAAACACAAATTCATAGCTTTTCGGCTTATCTGATTTGTGCATGAATACTATGTCCTTGGCAAAAAAGGCAGGTAGATGACAAATCCACGATGAATGAAGATTAAACTGTTATCCGTATTGTTAGATCAGTATAAACACATTATCAGTAATGTTTGAAAATTGAATATCCGCTGTATATCGTTTCTGTGACATGTTATCCAGGGTGCCGTTGTACAAAGCGATCTTAGCGCTAAGGTGATCGTAACTCCCATACGTTAACGTAGCGCTAAGGTTGTTTTGTACAACGGCACCCAGAACAATAATCATTATACACAAGACAAATAAGCGACAATGTTACCTCCATTGGATTACAGTTAGTCCCTACAAATATGTTTCTTATGTATTAAGCACCAGCTATTTTTGTAATATTCTCGAAATACGCATGCTCAACAAGAAATTTTAAGATTTCAGCGATCTTATTAATTTATTGAAGATATAGTTTTATTACAGAACATGGAGTCACGAATTGATCAATCGTTGAATTGTATAAACAACAAACTTGCCAAGTCACACCGGTGTAGCTTGATGTCATGTCATGAGCACAAGGATAAAAATAAATTTCATACTTCTTTCCTTTTACAGCGATACATCTGGAATTGTTCATGTAAATGACCTGACTTAATCTCATAATAATTCTTAAGGAGAAACATAAAATGACAAAAAAACTTTGAATTGGAAAATTTTATAAACAAAAGACCGAGCGAGTGGGTCGGGTTTAAAGCCGTTCAGTAACAGAATTCCAAGATACCACGGCGTGTCAGCTTAATGCTAGAGGAAAGCAGGAAACTGGGTCTTAGACGTTTACCACTTTGGTGAAACCCATGAACACGGGTACGGTGCTATCAAACCTTAAAACATAATCGGGGCGAATCGGGATTCGAACCCACAATCACAGGTTTCTGGGGTGTCCAAGGGACCCAACTCTGCACCACCAGTGATTAAGAAACAAAACAAAAATACATACCTATGGGTGTTTGAGTTTGGTTTTGAATTCACACATCCTACTAATTGACAAATGCTTTGATTTATAATGGCCGGGTGTGTTTTGTGACAGTTTCTCTAAACGACAACCTCAGACAATTTTTAGTTAGATAAACAAATAGTTGGGACCCTTCATAAATAACAGCTTGGGAATCACTTTATGTTTTTGATTTGACAGATTGACGAAATCGTCGCTTTTTTCTGCTTGGATACCTTCAGTCATGGGTAGGTGTAATATTTGTTTTTCATTTTTAGCATGTTTAAAGAAATGAGGAAATATCAATAACCATTATCACATCAGAAAGGCATGAAGTGAATATTCTATATATTGTGTGAACAGTATAGGTACACGTATAAACATGTTATTGCTATTTAGATCACATAACGTAAGAAACTCCTAAAGTCTATACTTATAGTTGTGATATTGCATAGATAAGTTAGAAGGTTGATCAAATATGTTCATGTATGCGTTTACACTTTCATTAGTTTCTGGACCCGTGAAGGTTCCGGGGTAGAATAGGTCTTCAGCAACCCATACTTGCCGTAAAAGGCGACTATGATTGTCGTAAAAGGCGACTAACGGGATCGGGTGGTCAGGCTCGCTCACTTGGTTGATACATGTCATATATCCCAATTGCGTGGAGGGGGCACGGGTGGCCCAGTCGTCTAAGGCGCCGCGATACGCTATGCAGAGTTGCGTCCCTTGGGCACGCCAGAAACCTATGATTGTGGGTTCGAATCCCGGTTCGCCCCTTTTATGTTTCTTGGTTTGTCAGCACCATACCAGTGCTCGTGGGTTTCACCGAAGTGGTAAACGTCTGAGACCTGCATCACTTCCGGCTTTCCTCCCACATTAAGCTGACACGCCGGGATATAACTGGAATACTGTTAAAAGCGGCGTTAAACCCAACTCACCCACTCACTCAATTGCGTGGATCGATCCTCATGATGTCGATCACTGGATTGTTTGGTCCAGACTCGATTATTTTACAGACCGCCGTCATATAGCTGGAATATTACTGACTGCAGCGTTAAACAACAAGCAAACAATAAACAAACAAAAACACATCAGTTTCTTATTGGTATATTTGGGACGGAAATGATTACTATAAATGACTTCCTGGTGTGTTTAAAGATGAGGAATGGACATGCAGGACATGCACACTCATCAACAGTGGCGACCGGCAGAACTGCATGGCATGTTACAGGGCAAAGCCACGACGGGAACCTGGACTACCAAATGTAACTTATCCAGAGCCAATGAGTTATTATCAAACACAACAGCATAAAGGTACTTCTCTTGTTTTTTCTCTTTTAATTTTCCTATACCACCGTAAAAACTGTACACTGTTTACGCCGCATTTAGCAGTCTTAAGCCATGTCACAACGGAGGCACCAAGAATGGGTTTCACACATAGCACTCATCTGGGGAATCGAACCTTGGTCTTCGGCGTGATGAGCAATTGTATTACGCACGGGACCAGCCCAAATTCAAAATGCTTACAATGACAGTGTTTTCATAGCTGGTATCCCAATTATGTCTGAACGTGCCATATACTATCAAATTCTCATACGTTATCATCACTAATCGTTTTGTTATTCTCAATTTCTTCTCAATTACAGGCGCATCGTATGGGTGTTCCACAGACCTCTGCCCGACCAATGAAAGGAGAATAGTTTTCCTTGGTAGAACAGGGTCAGGGAAGAGTGCCACCTGCAATAACATTTTGGGGGACATAGTATTCGAATCAAGTGCCTGTGGGTCATCTGTAACCAAATCGTGCAAGAGAGGGAGAGGGAGCAGATTTAACAGGGACATTCAAATAACCGACAGCCCTGGCTTGTTTGACACAGGTATGACAAATGCTGAAACCACGAAGGAAGTAGTGAAATGTATCGGCATGACAGCCCCTGGTCCCCATGCCTTTGTCCTCGTTGTCAGGATTGACCGTTTTACAAAGGAAGAGCATGATACCGTTGAACATTTCAGGCAGGTCTTCGGGTGTGACATGTTGAACTACCTCATTGTTCTGTTCACAAGAAAAGATGATCTACAACATGAAAAAATATCTCTACAAGAGTACTTGAAGAAAGTACCTCAGGAACTGCAAGTTCTACTCAAGTCCTGCAACAACAGATGTATTGCCTTCAATAACAGAGGCAGTGATGAGGAGAAGAACAAGGATGTCCAGGACTTCCTCACACTGGTGGACCGGATGCTCCTTGACAACGGGGGCAAGTGCTACACCAGTGAAATGTATGTTGAGGCTGAGAAGAACATGAAGATGAGGGAAGAACAGTTGAGACAGAAACATGATCAGAAACTCCAGGAAGAGAGAAATGCAATCAGGCGAGATTTCGAGCTGAAACTTCTGATGAAACAGGATGAAGACTTGAATATGAGGAAACAATTGGAGGAGAGAATAGAAGCACTGGAAAGAGAGAAAACCGAAAAAGCTGAAAGTAAAGCTGAAAGTGTGATGGCGGCGCTTTCAAAGGAAATCGAAGAACTGAAACTAGCTGTGAATGAAGCGAAGGAAGAAAAGAAGGAATCAGATAAACAGTTGGAGTTGGAGAGCAGGAGGAAGGAGCAAGAAGCCATTAAAAGACATGAGGCCGAAAAGCCGGACTTTCGAGAGGAGACGCGAAAAGAATTAAATGACGATAATTCCGATATCATGACCAAGCTGGAAACTGCTCTACCTGTGATCATCAACAGTATACTTCCGCCTATCATACCGGCTGCTGTGAATTATATTAAAGGATTCTTTCCTAAATAAAACTCGTGTCGGGATGTTGTTTGGAGAAAGAATGCAATGAGGTCTGAACACGAACAACTCAGACAACATAAACAGCATGTGGTCGTAGTAGAGGGACTAGCATCCGCCCTTTGTAACTGTTGAGACAGAAGAAAAACAACTCGCTTTATTCATTGTAAATAATTTTGATACAATAACACCTTTGTAATTAGGTAGCAAAATTTAGTTGTGTAGATCACTGGGTGTAATTACAGGGAAAACGTGGGGTTTTGTGAAGCATATTGCTTTCCCATGCTGATTGTGCTCAGCAAACGACTTTCCACAACGCTCGTTGGAATACACAGCGTAGTTGTGGCGCCACTGCTAGGTCGGTACTATATTTCATCGTCACAAGAACACTTTCAAACTTATCGTAGACTATGGCTTCAATTGATTTAATTATGGTTTCACTTCTCACATATGTATTAGTTTATCACTGTTTGTTTGTTGCTTTACGCCAAATCCAGCACTATTCCAGCAGCAGTCAGGAATATTGCCACAAACCATTGGTTGATATTCGGCGCAACATCCTTGTATGTTATTAGGAAGAGAATAATTTCCTCCAGAAATGTCTCTAGTGTCAGAGAGAAAAACTTTCTGTCATGTATGATGTCCTAAAAAAACGAAATAAAAAGAAATAAAAAAAGAAATATTTGCAGAATACTTTGGGACACTACACTGCACAGCGAATCATGGATCTTTAGACACCTGGGCCAGGCGTGCCGGGCAGCTTGTAGGTTTCCTAGCAGGCATCGAGCAATTGTAGGTAGACGTTTTTACGGTGGAATGAATTGAAACACCATTCAAACATGAATTTGGAAATTACACAATTCTGATTGGTCAGTCAGACGTATCAAGTCACAATGACCAACTCTGATTGAAAAGGCCGATTTTACGACCGCATCATCGCGGACTCTGAAATAGAATAGGTCTTAAGCAAACCATGCTTGCCAAAAAGGTGACTATGCTTGTCGTAAGAGGCGACTAATGGAATGTGGGTGGTCAGGCTCGCTGACTTGGTTGATGCATTTCATAGATCCAAATTGCGTGGATCGATGCTCATGATATTAATCACTGGATTGTCTGGTCCAGGCTCGATTATTTACATACCGCTGTCCTATAGCTGGAATATTGCTGAGTGCGGCGTTAAACAACAAACCAACCAATTTGAAATGTTAATAAAAAGGTACGTCTTTATCCATCACTGTGGGCATTTTATAAGTAATAATGAGTAAACATACCCGAATGCAGTTTAATTATAAAATGCAGATTCCCTTTTACTACAAGGTACACATGGCAATATATTTTGTCTTGATAACACGATACAAATCGACATGGAGGATTTATTTTTAGGGACAAAAGCGAGTATGACTGATATCATATATTCTGCGTCCCAATGAGCGGTGTGACGTCATAATAGTGACGTGCGGTGTGGACTTCACGTTGCCTCACGCAGTTGCTGTGCTGCACGCAGCTAATGCCAGTTTAATATGCATCAACAATATAATGGTGAGGTGAAATGGGGTTTAACGTCGCGTCCAAGATTATTGCACTTATATAGCGACGTGCATGTACGTGTATGTGTGTGTGTGGCTGCTTGTACTAGTCCGGACTGATGCCGATTTATAGTGCTACACAGCACCAACCATCGTACCTGCTTTATTTCAGCAAGGAGTTCGTGATTACATTTGTTATGTTAGAATGGAGATAAACCTCCCGTGTTTTCAATGTAGCGCTAGCTTACCTGTATATTTATCCTCCCTAAGCCAGTGTTCGAATTACCTGCCTGCCCGACCATCCGAGACGGGTTGATTTCAACTCGGGCTGCCAGATTTTCAAATCCCCCTGCCCGACGGTCGGGTTATATTTCATATGTGACAATATTCTAAATATTTCCCGATGATAATCATTAATTCACATGTAAAGATGAATGATAAAATGTAACCAAAAAGAAACCCCGTTAGCTTATCCTGAGAAACATATGATTATAGTGGGCAGGCAGGTTTTGGTCAGGGCTGGCAAGTATTTCAGCTAGCCAGTCCTGTGGTCTGGCTGAAATTTTTGGGAGTTTCATACCCTGCCTAAGCGTAACATTTGAAATCTCAGGCCGCGCGTTCGCTTCTAGCTTGAAAACACGGTTTATCTCCTAATTGAACAGGTCACGAACACACCTTGAAGGTGTCATTTATGCAACAATTTATTGCAATCAATATAGTCAGCAGCGTTTTATCAAAACTACGATAGGATAAGGCATTCAAAATTACTGAACATGGAACGTTAATTTGGCATATATCTTATTACACCTCATGTCACGTATGTAACCTGGCTTGTGTGCCATGGTCCCATCGATGGGTTAGTCGAAATTATTGAGAGGTTGGTTGGTTGGTTTGTTATTTTACGCCGCACTCAGCAATATTCCAGCTATAAGTCGGCCGTCTGTAAATAATCGAGTCTGGAACAGACAATCCAGTGATTTATATCATGAGCATCGATCAACACGATTGGGATCGATGACATGCTTCAACCAAGTCAGCGAGCCTGACCATCCGATCCCGTTAGTCGCCTTTTATGGCAAGAATGGGTTGCTGAAGACCTATTCTACCCCGGATCTTCACGGGTCTTATTTAGAGGTCGTCATGATGTAGCTTGAATAGAGATGACAGCGACCTAAACAAGCATTAGTTCACGGACTCAATCACACATTACACTATAATAACATTCAAACCAGATTATTTTTTATCATATGACAATCAGGGAACCTACAATGAGATGGCGATAGGCTCAGGTTCAAAACCACTGTGTTATTAAAGGCCTCTTAGCATACTTTGATAAAGACGTTCTTGGCTCAAAAATGACTTTGTATTTCGGAGCGGATAAAAGTTCCTTGGGTCTCTGTCCGGTAGAGGTGACCTGGGATCTGGTAGGATGGTACAGCGTTGAAGAATGGTCACCAATGCTAAGAAGATGCCCAGTATGGCCAAGACATTTTCCGACTCCAAATTCAATCATTCTGAAAAAAGGCAAAACTTGTGCATGCAAAAATAGCAGATACTTTTGTGAATTATTCACACATTTTGATAGGAATTCGAATTGTGACGTGAAGGCTTTCAAACTGTGATCATTTTACTGAAGTGTTCGTGTTAACATGTGCACGATATTATTGCTGATTGGTTAGTTCATACCAATTGCCCCATTGTTTTATTGTTTGCGAAATACACTTCAGAATCATGACCGACGTATTGTTGCGTTCCTTGTTCATGACGTCACATACGATTTTTGTGACGTAGATCCAACACAATACTGACTGAGCTCATGTTAACACCTGTGATGGGGAAACAGTTCTTCTAAAAAGTACAATTAGTGATAACCGAGCAAATTTAAGGCATTAAGTTTGAAAATAGAATTTATTTTTTTCAGTGTTTTGAACAAATATGCTTATGTAAGATAGAGATTAATATTTAATAGGCATAATCAGCAGTAGGGTAGGAGTTCCCCCATGTTTAATAAATATATTTAACCTTCTCGCGACTCGGAACTACGGAATAATCCTGAATGTCCTTCGCAAAGTATTGGGAATAACTAAATTAATTATTGGTAATCCATGATTCCCAGTAGCTCTTAGCCTATTCTCTAAATATTATCTGACAGTATGAACGTTGTTATGGCCCATACTAAAACTAATGCCTCATTATAGTATATACTGACACGGTGTATATCCTTTCCTGTCTTTTAAAAAACTTACGTTGTACCACAGTATCTTTGGACAGTGGGCAATCGCCTACTGTTGTTTGTCCTGGTACAGTACGGCAACTCAGTTGGACCAGACTCCTGAAGATCCGGGTAAGAATAGGTCTTCAGCAAACCATGCTTGTCGTAAGAGGCGATCGGGCGATCGCTGACTTGGTTGATGTATGTCATCGTATCCCAAATGCGTGGATGGATGCTCATGATATCAATCACCGGATTATCTGGTCCACATTCGATAACTTACAGACCGCCGTCATGCAGCTGGAGTATTGCTGAGTGTGGCGTTAAACAACAAACAAACAAACAAACAGATATCCGTGAAGTCTGTGAACAAGGCATTTTGTGTTTGTCCCGGTACACGGGAGACGACTCCTGCCTATCTGCTGATCAATCTCTTCCTGTACCTCGGTCTAAACATCTGGCCTTGGTGAATGGACCAGCAACAGCGAGCTGCGTGACGTTCCTATGCCTGTGGTGAGGACATTGAAAGAAAACCTTCAAAGGGGCTTCCGAATTTGTTCATATGAAATTGCCTAGGTGCGGGCTCTCAGCACTTAAATACAGCTACCTTTATAAGCTTTAGTTCATTTGAGTGAGCAGATATTCCAGCAATATCACGACCGGGACACCAGGAATGGGCTTCACGTGTACAAGCATTAACAATTCTAACAACAATTTAACCCTTATTAAATACTGTTTGAGAACACATGGCCCAAGAGGTGCTTATCACATATGGATCTTTAAAATTCGAAAGATTTACTTGAAGTTACACTATTTCAGACGAGGAAAAACAATTTTCAACATAAACGAGGAGCTTCAGAGGTTCGGGGCAAATTGTAAAAAATTAAAGCATATTTGCCATCTAGAGTTTATATTACCGACAATATGTGAAATGCTGGACTTTTAGAAAACCTAATCAATGATAAATGATAAACTTTTTAGCATAATCTTTTTCTTCGGTATACTCTTTGGGTTAGCATCTAATGTTTATGCAGGAAATTGGCAAAAGTATCGCCCTTGGTTCATATGTCGTCTGCTTCATGATGGCACCAAAACGAAAGCATTAACTACAGTACTATTTTTTCAAAAAATGATTTCATAAATTTGTACATTGTTTAGAGATTGATAACTTAATGTAGGGGGGGGTCATGAATAAATGTTACATGATACAGATACTAAGACCAATCCCCACCTCCCCGCTATTCTAAATGACCAGTCCCTAAAGTGAACAGCCGGAAAACCAAACAAGACATGGTTGTCTTGGGAAGTGGATTTGTTTCAAGGAGGCAGACACACATTAATAACTATTCCAAATCAATTGGTCTTATTTACATGTATGCCTTGTTTGGGAATACATGGAAATGTTGTAGAAATTCACATATTTACATCAGTATCCAGACACGTCCATTATCCTGCCAGGTGTGCAATGTCAGTATACCAGGAGGTATACCGGGGGGTAGCGACACAAAACCATATTAATTACGTTTGTATGTGTGTGCATACCATTTGGAATAATATGGACAGGGTAGAATTTCAATCCTCATTTCAAACGTTAGAAATGAAACATGTTCTTTATATTTCCAGTGTCCAGACATTAATAGGAAATTGTACAATTTCAAATGTTTTACAGATGTGATTGGCACCAATATATTTGAATACTTAGAGATATTAAAACGAATCAATGAGTTGTGTGTCGCTTTATTTCTTTTCATGACCATATACAGGCATCAATGCTCAATCAACCTCATGAAATACATTGAAAATACAAGGACATACCACTAAATATATTAATTTAATCTCGGTATGCCTGTGAACAAAGTCACAGCTCGTTAAGTTGGACAAAGGATGCTCAGTACATTTGCGACTGATATTGAATTGCAAATGGCCATGAGGAAGATCAAGCCTAACCTTTAAACTTTTAAGCTAAATATTATCACAGAGAACCATTTGACGAATACATATAACAACAAAAACGCTGTGTATTAAATGCAAGTAAATGCGAACATTTTAAGAGCTTACTTTTATGAACAACTCAAATATGTTCCTAGATAACAGGTATATGAAATCTTTGCTTATATTGCAATGTTCATAAATTATGTAAGGTTCTATTTGTACTTTACCACCACACAAGTATGTTCAGTGAAAGATGTGATATGTAAGTTCGTCTGTTCA